TCTCTGGAGACTGGACTGGAGTCCGGAGTTTGAGGCACCTCATATTTCTCTCTTGTCTGATTTTCAGCCTCTTGATTTTTTTAATGCCGCTGCGGATCCGCACATAGTGTACCTTGCTTATCGACTCCAGACTGAAGTAGCCTCCTTCTCCACTCAATTAGGGTGACATAAGCCAGTGGATCTCTCCCCCGTCCGGAACCACTGGCATCAAGCATTGGCATTGGCATTTGGTATTGGCCCTGACTTTTGTGAAGGTATTCTCACATGGCCGGGCTGCAACTCACGTATATCGTACGTACATCTTTCATTTATTATTCTCCGGCGGGCTCAGCAGGGTTCACCTTCACTATAGAGCCCGCACCGGAAATCTGTGCTGGCTTGCTAGGTGCAAGTCAATCCTGCAAGTTATGGACCAAGCTCTGAATTTTTTTAATTTTTTTTTTTATTTGTACTTGTCTCGGGGTGATGATGCCATTTCTACCCTTGGCTCTCTCTTGCGCCATTATTCATAGCAATTCGCTCTTCAGCCCAAACGCGCAAACCCCCGCAGATAATCAAGCGAGCAATTGAACAACTTTGAAGGGCATGTATAAGCTGCGTAAAGACTTGTCCCAATTGTGTATTGCACTCATAGCATCCATGAGTACATACCATGGACCCTCTGCTGTTGCATCACTGCTGGGTTGAGTCACAAACTTGAACCGAAGCGGAAACCTGGCATCAATGGGACGTTGAAGTTTGAACAAACGTTCAAATTGCACCTCGCGAGCCGCAAGTAATTCCCGCGTTCCCCGCCCTTTTGCCCCAGCCAGTTTTCCCTTCTCCGCTTGTTTTCTTTGCTCGTACGGATAATACAACATGAAAACCTAAGGCCATATTCCATCTTACGATCTTGCCAAAAACCGAGACATTAAACGCCAGGTAGCCAATCCAGATCCTAGGCCAACACCCACAGCCCCCAATGCAACGAGACTCCAGCTTCAAGGTAGAATAGTAGGTGCGCCTATTCGTTTGTACAGAGGAGCAACACCCAACTAAACTACTGCACAATGCCGTCCCTCCCCTCCCCTTCCGCCGCCGCAGCACCCCCCCCCCCCCCCCGGGTCGGCTGTACCAAGCCGAGGTCCTATCGGCTGACGCCGGAGAGAAGGAAACAGGAAAAATCTCAAGTTGCGGTCCGCCTGAAACTATGTTTCTACCCATCATCAGCCGATATTTCCTTATCTGTGTGTGATGTATCTCCTAACCGCACCAGCCAGCGGAACCGCTCTGTAGTATATCACAGACAAGCCAGGTGGCGGCATTATCTAAACAAACAAGAGGGAGGTCTAGATTGAGTGATCTGATCTGGGGGAGCAGATCGACCGTGCCACTGGTGCCCTTTCCCCTCCAACCCGCCCTTCTTTCTTTCTCCGCATCGAGAAGGTCACATATTCGATATGACATCGTCGATGGCAACCACCACCATCATAGTCAACCATCTGCAACCGATTACGGCCAGTTCACATATTGTCCTTCTGCTTCTGCAGCCGTAGGCTCACGCCGTCACAAGCAATGAACAAGTAAACAATATAGCCACAGACCTTCAGCTCCGGAGAAAATCGGAGCCACAGCACTCTTGCGTGTACAAACTGCAACGCGAAGCAGGTGCTTGCGTCTCTTCTAACCGCTTCTAACAAGGAGAACGCGTATCTCAGCCTCTCTGAGCCTCCAAAAAGCTGCAGACACAACTGGGCGGGCGACCTTCAGGGAAAGAAGCTACTGCACAGATCGCCCATTCGCCGCGGGTCGCATATACCGATGCAACCGCGGGGATGGTGGCAAAGGCCCCTCTTTCTTTCTGCATAGCTATTCGTACCTCTCAGAGCCTGTGGACGAGAACGGGCTGTATGCCCGGTCCCAAATTTTCGTGGTCCTGCAGAAACGGCCTCCTTGCCAGCCAGCCAGCCAGCCCACTTGGAGATGTGACTCCGTACAGCGCGCAGCGAGCAATAGGGACTCGAGGAGTGGAGGGTGACATCAGGACTTGAGACGATTTTTGATGCAGGACTGTAGGCGCCTCCCGCTCCTTGGTCAGCCCACAACGCCGCTTAATCGTGCGGACGTCGTCTTACCCTGGCTCCATGTTTCCCGGCTTTCCGCGGCGGCTGCAGCAGCGAAGACGAACGACTACCACCGATCACAGCCAAGATAATAGCGCTCAAAGAGCGAGAGCCGCGAGGTTCAGACTCAAGAGATCAATGGCATAGCAAAGGCAACACTAAGCAACGAGTTCGACTGGACTCACCCCGGCTTCCAGCCTTCATTGGCGGGAGCCACAATGTGACGGTGCCCGCAACTCTGCAACAGGACCTCATTCTAGACTCTCCTCTGTTGCTATGCATCGACAGGCAGCGTTGCTTGACTTGACTTGGTCTATAGGATTGGCTCGGTTTTTGTCTTTTCTCTCTCTCACGATTTAGGCTGTTTTAGGTACCGGTATATGCGTTGCGCCTCTGCTTGATGCCTACGAAGTCTTTGACAACATTGCTTCTCGTTCGTTGTTGTCTCCGCAGTTTTCTCCACAGTTGTCTCTCCGCAGTTTGACTCCGTGGCACCCCGCCTGGAGTCGTTCGATGGCCCCAGTGCCACCTACCTCCCCCAACACCGCCGCTCCCGCTGGCCCGCGTTACCGCGACTACTGCCGAGATCTTCAAGTACGGGTTTTGTTTCTAGATTGGGTGTATTTTTTTATAGATACTTTGAGTACTCGGCAGTGGTTTGATTCCAAACAAAGGCTGAGTCCAAGGAACGCCTAGACCCATGAGAGTGTATGGTGCGAGTACATGATGGATGAGTATAGCACAAGCACAATGAGAAAGAAACAATAGAAACAGAAACTCGTATTCAGGATCAAAGGGCAGACTTGCTTGCGTAACAGTAGGATGAGTAGAGTTACCAACCTTGCAGCGGATGACTTGCAGCGATCATGCACACATCCCGCTTCCCCGCCCGCCCGTCAACACACCCTCAGGTTACTTTCTCCTCTACTCCCTAGAGTCCCTCTCCCCTATCACCGCCGGAGCAGCTCGCTAAGTGCTCGGTGATACGGAAACAGGAAAGAGAGACGTCTTCTCTTACCGGAATTGGATTCCAATGTTGCGTATGTTTGCCCATTTACACATCTTGGCTGCTTGTCGCTCGATAACCCCCCCGTGTCTCCGACTCTCATCCCGCATATGCGGGAGACAATGAGATTCTAGACCGCTGTTTCCCGTGGTACTGAAAGGAGGCAAATATACAATAGCAATGGCTAAAGCTGAAGTCGCAATTACAACATTCTTTCTGGCCCGAAAGGCATTGGTCCAGTTGCAGGTGAAACCGTGGACTGCTCTTATAACGGTGATCAAGACAACGTCGAAATGGGATGATGGTCGACCGTTTTCTTGTTCATTTGGGTTTCTCGGAAGCTTTCGCACAGAGTAAGAAAGAACAGGGCTCAATTGGTCTTTCGCACATATTGCCCCAGAAGGAATTCCGTCGACGTTCAAAGGCAAAAGTAACCGAGGGTATTGAGACGTTGAGCCTGTTTTTTATTTTTATTTTTATTTCTTTTGAGCGGCCACGGCAGGTATGCTCGGCTTCCTTTTCACTCGCCCAACGACTCATGGAGGGAAGGCGAGGGAAGGGGGCGTGCGCATATTGAAACTACTGGATTTTTGCTTTCTTCCAGTTTGGATCGAAAACTTTCAGAGAGTTCATCGGGACACGGTTTGTCATGTTTCGCCTCGGGAAGTCTACGGCAAGTCGGGAAGAGAGGGCTGGCGGTGCCGGTGTGGTGGTTGCGGCTCTCTATTCCTCCGCACTTCCAACGGAGGAAACCTTACGTCAGTGCCCTATTTTGCCCAGGGTGGACGTTCTATCAACACCATCACATGTTAACTGAACAGCAATTTTTTTGCTGAATGATGTCTCTAAGCCCCTACCTTTCCCCTTCACCCCTCCGTTCGCCCCGCAATATTAGAGCTGGCTCATGCTCATGCTCATGCTTCCTTGAAGTGTGCTCATGCCGCATGAAGAACAAAATAACAGACTTCCCGACGAAGGGAAAGGTCGAGACCTTCTTCCCGGAGTCCCTCGTGGCAGATACTCGATTCTCGGCAAGTCAATTGCATGATTGATGATTTTGCTAGCAATCGGAATCATTGCTATGTGTTGAGGAGAAGCTTTCTTGTTAAGGATATGACGGCATTCCCTCGTTTCGGCCTCGGCCTTGAAATTGGAATGTGGAAAGCATTCATGTGAGGAAGCTAAGGCTACGGGTACGAGTATGGGCTTTTGTCAAAAGTCAATGGTACTCATTCCGTTCTTTCTCAAGCACATGTCGACGCCATGTTGTGGCCAGAATGGCATGGGTCCTTATCCATCACAATAGAGACTGTGAGCTGATGATATCTGAGTCCCTTTCCAGACATGAAGGTAATATGCCATTTTCTTCGCGGGATGACCCAAGCACCACAGCTTCACATTGGCTCCGGAAGCACATTCCGGACTTTTCACACCGACATAGCGCCGTAACGGAAAGGCAGCCAGGAAGTTCCTCTCTCTGTAAGACGGAAGTAACATGTGCTTTCGAACAAGGCCGGGGAGGGGCTCCAAACTTTACATTAGAATCGGGCGTTGACGTGAGAAGCTTATCAGCCGATGATTGCTCGGCATGTGAAATGTTTCTCGAGACAGTTTCGTTTTGTAGATTGAATGTACCCAAAATAGGACGACTACGATTGGCCGAACCCTCCCATAAACCCAAATCGCTCCCAATGCTTGCTAAGGGAGAGAGGAAAAATAGGCCAGATAACAAAAAAGACGCCGTTGATACGCCGTAAGAAAACGCCATTGCACCGATTACAGTCCCATCCAACGATTCTTACAGACACCACACTTCCCAACCCGCACTAATGCAAGAGACAGAGACCAAAAACTCCCAACAACATGGACCATAATCCTGAAACCGTGGGGTATCATGCCGAGTAACTCGGCGGATTTGGGTCCGCGTACACCATGGTCGCCTTGAGAAAGATGAGCACCTCATACGCCGCCTTTGCAATGTCGAGCCCCTTCTTCTTCCATTCGGACTCGTACCACAGGTTCTGCAGCATGTTGTCCGCGACGAGCGTGACGATGAAGCGCACGTGGTGGTCCTCGGCCGTCCACGCGCTCTTGTCCGGGCGGTAGACGCAGAATTTGGCCTTGCGGCCGTTGAGCGCCTCCCGCGCCGCCTGGGCCGTGCGGATTTTCTCCGGCTCCGGCACGGCGCTGGGACCGGGCGGTTGGCCGCCGCCGGTGGGGCCCGCGGCGGCGACGTCGGCGATGGCGCGGGAGAGGAAGTCTGCGTTGAACTCGTTCCAAGGACCGCGGACAAAGTTGCTGTCGAGCCAGTCGTGGAATTTTGTGACGTCTTTGAAGGGGAGGAGCTCGAGGAGGAGGCGCTCGTGCTGGAGCGATACGCGGGAGGAGGAGGAGGCTGGCGGGTTGGCGAGAGCCGGTGTCCGGGCCGGCGATGTGGGCATGACGGCAACGGTTCCGACGGCGGTGGGTTTGGGGACCATGCGGGGCGTCGGGGGAGGGGAATCGAGGCGCTGGTAGGGGAGCTTTGTGATGGGGAAGGTGGATTGCGTTGTGTGTCTGCGTGGACGTGGGATGCACATTGGAAGGAGACGAAATGCGACTGGCGGGCACCAAGGAACACGAAGTTAAAGAGGCAGACAAGTCGACTAAGGGTTGGGAAACTTGTAAGCGATTTAATGGTAGACTGTGGCTGTACAGAGAGTCTGCCTGACCAAGGTCGGGATGGACAATATTACATATATGTCTCTCTTCCAGCCCTACCATATCTGGGCCGCTATCCACTGAATATGCCTCGCATCAAGGGTCTTTTGTTTTGACGTCAATCTACCTACGAACCCCTCCCGCCTGGTCTTACAAGTTTGCTGCCTGAGGGGCTTTCCTTTGATATGAACGAACGCTGCATCGGAAGCGTGCTGGAGGCATGAGAGAGGGGAATTTGCGAAGTTGTTTCTTTGGACTTTTGGAGGGGCTTGCTTCTAGGCAACAGAGCTGAAATGCAGCGTCGGCGAATCAGGAGGGTCTGTGTCAGCCGCGCTGCTCACGGCGCTTACGCGGCCGTGAGGGAGCCAAGCAGTGAGATGCGCAGCACTCGTCTGACCATTTGCATCAGATCAAGCCTGGAATGGGAGGGATGGTTCTGAGCGCCGAATTTGTCGTAGAGATAGAGCATGCGCGTCCGTCGGGTTTTGGTGCAAGTGCATTGGAGTTGGTGATGGGATTTTAGGCTGCAGCAAGTCTTCGACCGCCTGGTCAGAGCCTTGGCACAGAGATACGAAGGTAGACCTTCTTGTAAGATTATGAGAAAGCTATAGAATAATAGTCATTATGAATGAGATGATGTATGACTGGTGTTGAGTTTTCTTAGACCTGCTATTAGTAGACCTACCCAACTATTACATTCGGCTAGAAGAAGCACATGCGAACATTTTCCGTCAACAAAACTGATCATACCGCATAGTTTTGTCAAAGACCAACTCCTTCGAATGAGAAATCATGTTTAAAACTGCAAATTTCTTTTGAGTGACGGTACTCATTGCCACACTCATTGCCACACTCAATGCCCTATCCAACTGAGCAACGACTTCACTACGAGACCCGAAGAAAGCAAATTCACAGTATGAGTCTGATCTCATAGTATTTACATATAAATCTTTACTTTCAGACAAGGGGAGACCCTTAAGTTGTTCATAGCAATATCGTGTTGCTCTAGGTAGCCTTCGATTATTATGTGAGAACGATGAATGCTCCTGTTGTACCACATAGCCAAGTTGACAATAGACCCATAGGTCGCGGAGCAACCAGAGACCGTCTGACTCAATTCAACATGCTCGCTATGCCTTAGATGAATGATTGGAGCTTTTGCAGCATGATATAGCCATCAAAAAGGGGCCGATCCGCGGTTCGAACGCGGGACTCTTGCAGACATTTCATCAAATCCAAAGCAAGGATCTTACCACTTGACCAATCGGCCTGACTGTTGATGTCTTCTGGTTGGACTAATCTCTATTGAAATTGAAATGAGATTGAACGGTTTGTGGTTGGGATGAGGTCGAAGACGTGAGGTGAATGGCTTGGTGCGGGCGGTGTGTTGAGTCACCCGGCAAGCGAGCGTGGAAGGGCCTCACTCGAAACCACGACAGGGAAAGACGGTGGCGAGGTATCGTGTCTCATGCACCAGGCATGTCTCAAGGTCATTGTCTGCAAAAGCACTCTTCAATTGCCTCAATTCCTTCCATGAAAGCAAAGCTATCAAGTCAATTGACGGAAGGAACAGGTGTCCATGCTATGCAGACGGTCGCTACCTACCTTCCCTGACTATCCCTTGATAGGTGTCGTAAAGACGGCATTGAGGTTCTTTCCGATTATGATAATACTTATTGCCGTTCTTGTGGAAGGGCTACAATCCGCAAGAACCCAGTCGGTTGAAGGAAGGCGATGTTGATTTGTGCTTGACGATGAATGTTGGCACACGAGGGCAGTTGGAAGGAACGCCGGCCAACATCTTCTATAAGCATGGACCGTACCGATTTGTAGCATGATCCCCTGCTGTTTTTGGTGTTCCCATGGTGAATATGTTCCGTACGATTCCAACTTGTCCTCCTTCGTCATCCTAGGTTCCCCTTCTCGAGACGCGGCTGTGTCACTAGATCATTGTCTCGCACGAGGCCATCATGTAAGTCTCTGTATCCACAATGGTCTGTAACAGAGCTGGACTGACTTTTTGAGAGACCAGTGGCTACATCCGATCCTCTCCAATTCTCCACTCACCTCTCCTTCGCACCACCTAGACTATAGTCATGCGAGAACTCCCTCCTCTGCAGCTCGACGGCATCGAAGCCGAGATGGATAATGACAACACACGGCCTGACACTTCGAAGAGCTCAGACGAGCCTAACCAGTCTTCGTTTCGGCCTCTCTCAAAGAAGCAGAAGCAACATCGGGTTAGATATCGCTTTCTTACTCCCTCTGAATGGGCCATCGTTGCTCATGGAATCGGCGGTGTCAATGATACTGAAGGCCACATTGCCCTTCATCCTTCCTGCTGGTATTATCCGCCCAAAGGTATCCCTAATGGACTGTACCGAGATGTCATCTGGCATCGGACCAAGTATTTCTACATGTACCATGGCATGAGCTCCATTCGATGGGTTGCCTACATTCTTCAGATCATTCTCGGAGCAATCCTTACCGCAATCGGTTCCATGTCTTTCAAGAACGGCACTCCCATCACCATAATTGCGGCTACGAACACTATCAATGCTGGAATACTCGCACTTTTGCACAACAGCGGACTGCCTGACCGTTACCGCTCCGACCAGGCGGAATTCGACGAGGTCGAAGACCACCTCAAACAGATTCTTGACACTGGTATTGTCCCGGAGAACATGTCTGTTGACCAGGCTCTCATCCATTGCTTCAGTCTCTACCACGAGGCTAAGAAGACCGTAGCGGCAAACATTCCGGCAACGTACACCCCCAGCTCGGTTCTCGGAGCTGGTCAGCAGGTTGGTGAGCCTCAGAAATCTAACGCCACAGGTCGAACAACACCCAACGCAGCTAGTGGCGTCATTGCAACCAGACTCTCGGTGGCATCACCAAAAAGGAATGAGGGACAGGCCATTGAGGAGAAATGACAAGGTCTCGTTACATGGCGAGAGGATAGGCAGATGGGAAGTTTGTGTTACCTATCCCTGAATTATGGTGGTAAGGAAGGAGAGTAAGGCGTGCGGTGCCTGGTACAGTTATGGCATGACCCTGGTAGTAGTAGATGATAGAACCACTTGTGTCTGATCGGAATGGTAATGGAATGAACAAGGGCAAATGTCCATTCTTAGACTTAGTCGCACTTACATAGAGTTGTGTTGTGTGAAGGTGGCGAGAGGGAGGCTCTTGGAGCAACATCATGAATTACGATATAACGATGCCAAGCTGAAAACAATCGAATAGATGAATGCATGTGCTGCATGCCCTCCAAGCCTTGGCAAGGATGCTGATATCTTACACTACAAGGAAATGCTTCTCGTACATGCTCTTGTTTCAACACACTGCCCTTTGGCGTGTCGGCATCATCCCCAGTTGATGCCGAGGAATCTGACGCCTTTCTTTCCAGAACCGGTCGCCGTGTCTGCGTTCTCGAGGTAGTGTCGCTGGTGCCCTCTGACATCAACGTAGAGGTACTTGTATTCAAATTCGCCAGAGATGGGCGTCTTGATCATGTGCAGGTAAACCACGCCCCTGTTGAGGGGCCCCTCTACATGGAAGTGCATCAGCATATGCTCGTGGCCTCTCGAATCCGTGTTGATAGTAGAGCTGCTCGAGTTAGATTTATACAGTCCTAGTCATGGGAGGAGCGACACACGCAATCGGACGGGCTCGTCGCCACTTGTTATATGTTTCCTCGCCATGGCAAACAATCTTCTTCGAATCTCCCAGCATTTCGATGCACTTCTGATCAGCCTTGATCTTGTCGACGACTCGGTTGAAGACAGCGGTTTTACTGTCCGGAGAGAAGACATCTGTCCACAAAACATATGCAACTCCGCCCTATTAGACCACATCCATCGTTAGCTACTAGTTGCCGCGGGGTAGAAGTCATTTGACTCGCCGTCACTGCGATACCAGCCAGAATCAGGCCAAAATTGAAGGTCTGCTGGGTCGCCCTGGCTGCCTTTTCTCCTCCAGAAAGCTGCGACCAAGGTACCGATCCATTGTCGTTGAATGGCGTGACCTTCTTCCGTTTCGAGCTAGTTGTCGAGGCGGTCGTTCCGAGACCATATTGCGTCGCATAGCTTCGCTGGAGTAGCAGAGGTTGTAGTCGGGGCGCAAGACCCAGTCTCGTAGTTGCGCAGATCGCATTCGAACAGGTAGTCGTCTTCATCATGGTGGTTGGACGTCAGCCATCGTACAACCGCAGCAAGCAGGGTACGGTAGTGGTCGAAAAGAGCTCGGCAGTCGAAAGTTGGAGCTCCCCATGTAGCTGGTCTGGGCGAGCTCTGCAAAAGCCTCCTGACCGCCCTTGGCAGAATCCCAATCGCCAACCCACTGTGGGGGAATTGATCTAGCCCATTTAGGTCTAGCGTTCTGGCTACATGCCACTTCACCCAAGGGCGGCGACTGCCTCCTGAACTTTTGGACACGAAATTCAGATAACTCCGCTCCCTGCCTCGCTCTCGCTTGCGCATCATTTCTGTACCCGCAACCTGCACCCTCTTTCGCTCCCTTTGATATCACGGCCTTCGCAACCGGTTGCGCTTTCAACTCCAGGCCCAGAAGCACACAACTGAATTGCTGCTAATATCGTCACGATGGCTGCACTTGCTTCCAAGCAGCAGTCGCTCAAGATCTTTGAGAAATTGAAGACTAAGCCTGCGAACAAGGTATGCCCAACACCCTGCACCCCTTTATGCCCAAAGTTTGTTATGTTGTGCAGTGTTGATTGACTTGCGCACACTACAGATCTGCTTCGATTGCGGTGCCAAATATCCAACATGGACCTCAGTCCCCTTTGGCATCTACCTCTGCCTCGACTGCTCGTCTAACCACCGAAACCTCGGTGTCCATATCTCCTTCGTCCGATCCACCAACCTCGACCGTACGTGTACCCGACCACCGCCTATCTTTCCCTCCCTTGACTGACCTCTACGACAGAATGGCAGTGGGATCAGCTGCGTGTGATGAAGGTTGGCGGCAATGAGTCAGCTACCAAGTTCTTCCAGCAAAATGGAGGTACTGCTGCCCTCAACAGCAAGGACCCCAAGACCAAGTATCAGTCCAGCGCTGCCACCAAGTACAAGGACGAGCTGAAGCGCCGCGCGGCAAGAGACGCTCAAGAGTGAGTATACAAATTGTCATTCTTGAATGCGAGATAGGCTGACGAGACAGATACCCCGGCGAGGTTGTCATCACCGACGCCACCGACGCCGATACCTCTACTCCCGCTGGCGAGCCTGACGATGATTTCTTCTCATCCTGGGATAAGCCCTCCATCAAGAAGCCTACGCCCCCGATCTCTCGCACTTCGACTCCCCCGACTGTCGGCCGAACCGCCTCCCCCTTCCTCAACGCCAACAACGGTGCCGGTAAGGATATTGCACGATCCTCCTCGCCCCTGTCCAAAACGGAAGGCGATAACAAGCCCACTACCGGCCGCGTAACCACCTCTGCTGCCCTGCGCAAGACTACAACCTCCACCGGACCCCGCAAGGCCAACATCTTGGGAGCTAAGAAGGCCCCCAAGCTTGGGGTCAAGAAGGTCACGGCTGATATCATCGACTTCGACGAGGCCGAGAAGAAGGCCAAGGAAGAGGCGGAGCGCATCGAGAAGCTTGGCTATGACCCCGAGGCTGAGGAGGAGAAAAAGGCTGCCAAGGTGGATGCTGTCGCGGCTCCTACCCCCGCTGCCCCTTCGGGTGGATACGGATCATCCAGCCATACCCGTCAAAAGTCTGACGCCGAGATGGAGCGTTTGGGCATGGGTGTTCGCAAGTTGGGCTTCGGCATGGTCGGTGGAGCCAAGGGTACCGCCGCAGCGCCCAAGAAGGCTGGAACAGGAGGCTTCGGTTCCGTTGGCCCCATTAAGGCCAAGACTGAGGGTAAGGAACTCAATCTGCTAAAACGAGCGCGCAACTAACAGTAATGCAGATGAGAGCGAGAACTACGCACGCAGCAAGTTTGGCGCTCAGAAGGGTATCTCTTCTGACGAGTTCTTCGGCAAGGGCTCCTTCGACCCCAATCAACAGGCCGAGGCGAAGACTCGTCTACAAGGTTTCGAGGGGGCAACCTCCATCTCGTCCAACGCATACTTTGGCCGCCCCGAGGATGAGCCGCAAGAGGAGTACGGTGACCTCGAGGGCGCCGCCAAGGACTTCATTCGTAGATTCGGTATTACCGCTGGCGACGACTTGGAGAACCTTGGCCAGCTGGCCGGCGAGGCCAGCCAGAAGCTGCAGGGTGCCATCCGCGCTTACCTCGGAAGCTGAGCGGTTCGACATGACACAACAGCAACGTCACTGGAGACGACAGAATTGAAATTTGAGTTTCACTTTGCCATCAAGATATAGAAAGCGGCCATATCCCAAGGTCCCCTCTCACTGTTTAGAGGGACGAATGCCATACGCCAGGGGAGTTGGAAGGTACGAAAGCAGAACGTTGGACAATGGCAGGCGGACGCGAAAAAAAGGATACCTTGTGTGCTTTTTACAACGGACTGCTTATCAAGTGAGCCCGGAGGGTCGTTGTTGGGTCTCAAGGTTAGGAAGGGAGGAAAAGACGCATGCTGAGGACTTTCTGAGACTTGATTGCATCCCGGCATATGAGGCGTACAGACAGAGCCGGCGACGGGGGAGTGATTGTCACTTGGTTGGTTGGTTTGGGTCTAATACATAAGTATGAATGAATAGAATTGAGCTTCATCACCATACTTTACTATGTGTTATCTGGCTTCTCTTGTCTTGGCGCTGGGTATAGCGATCTGCGGCTGAGAACATGTGTGGAGCGAGAAATAGGTTAAGGTAGGGAAAGCATGTGAAGTATCCACTTCCGCGCTTAGCCTTCCAGGGTCCATCGTGTTCACGCGTGACTGGGGCGGAAACTCTACAAAAGCTGAGCGCAAGAGAGTGCGAGAACACGTTGCGATTTTGGGGGTCAGACGTTCCAGTCACGTCCCATTTTCTAACTGGCCACTTGTCAGCGAAAATTAAATAAATCAATTTGATGTCGAGCACAGACTGTATGTCAACTGACATCGGTTCTCTGCCTCTGCAACTCTAGGGTTTTTCTTTTCCTTCCATTTCTCCAAAAGTTGAGCAGCGGGTGATGGCGTCACAGAGAAATAATGTGAGCTTGTATGAAGAGAAGTTTGCAGGTCATTTCATGATATGCTAGCGATCATCCATCTCAGGTCATCTCAAATATACAAAACAAGAGCCTCATAACTCCAGGCCCTTGGGAGGCGCCAGGCATAGGCTTCCCCTTGGCGCCCACCCAAATATGCGACCAACTAAAACAAGAACATTACGCTTTTAACAATTTACAACTTGGCAATCATCTTGTTGCCCTTCTGGAGCCATGCAACGGCGTCGTTTACGAACTCGTCCATGACTGCCTTGGCGGGCTTCTTCTCGTTACATACAGCCGCGGCCTTACCCATGAGGAAGGGGCGGAACTGGTCGAGGGCGTCGTCAATATCGACTTCGGCGGCATTGTCGTCGCTGCCGCTCTCGCCGCTGCCTTCACCGTCACCAGAGTTCATGAGCTTCTCGAGGTCGGCCTCGTAGGGGATGACACCCTTGGCTGTGAGCTCCTTGATCTCCTGCTGGCGCTCCGTCTCCCAGTTCTCAATGTACGGGTTCTTGCGTACACGAAGGGGGCGACCGGTAAAGATAAGAGTCTTGATGTTGTCGTCGTGGCCAGCGGTGCGCACAGCTTCCTTGTGCGCCTCGGGGGCACCGGCCTCATCAGTGAGGATGAAACGGGTTCCAACCCAGACGGCACCGGCACCCATCATGAGGGCAGCAGCCAGAAGCTGACCGTTGTGGATACCACCGGCGGCGATGACCTGAACGGGGCCCTTGAGGAGAGGGCTCTTGGTGTTCTTGCAGAGGTCGACGACGGCGGGGATGAGAACGGTGGTAGGGACGTCACCAGTGTGACCGCCACCCTCACCACCCTGGGCGCAGATAATGTCGACGCCGAGGTCGAGGCACTTCTGGACGTGCTTGGGGTGTCCGATCATGTTCATGTAGACGATGCCGGCAGCGTGGAGTCTGTCGACGACGTGCTTGGGAGGGACACCGACAGCAGAGACGAAGAGCTTGGCGCCCGATTCGATGATGATGTCGACGAGCTGGTCGAGCTTGCCCTTGGTGTAATCGTAGCTAAAGCACGAGAAATTAGCCTCGGTTAAAGGTTGTAGGTGCGACACATGCGCGCCAGCTTCTCTAGCAAACACGTGGGGTTTGTGGGCTCTTTGCTTACTTGGTCTTTCTGGCGCTGCCACCGACCTGGGGAAGAAGCAGATCAACACCGAAGGGGGCGTTCTTGTCAACCAGGTACTCCTTGAGCTCTGCAATCTGCTCCTTCAGCATGTCCGGGGTGTAGCCGACACCACCAATGACACCAAGACCACCGGCGTTGGTAACGGCAGCAGCCAACTTGGGGCCGGCAGCTACGTTCATGCCGGCAAGCAAGATCGGGTGCTTGATCTTGAAAAGATCGGTGATGGGAGTGCGGATTTGCTCTGTTATCGCGGGAACGTGTCAGCAGTGGCTCCGGGGCGAACCATCTGTCGCATGTGACAGGCAAGGCCCGAATAGCAGGATAGGTTACTTACGAGGTGACGCCATTGTGCCTGTGTTACTGGATGTGATAAATGCTAAAAAAGATCTGGGTATATCAGGTCGTGAAGCTGTACAGACGAAGAAATTTGGCCTGGGAAGAGGAGTAGTAGATGAAGGAGAAAGCAGGTAAATCTTGTGGAAGAGGTGAGATCTGGCAATCGGCGGTTTAAAGAGTTCCGGTGGTAGTAGCGCTCGGCATCAAAGGCACTTTTGGTTTCTGGGGAAGAAGGGGCGGAGTAGCGTTGCCATGCGCCCCTGCTGGGAGTCCTGGACCGAGGTTCGCCTGTGACCTCAGGAACTAAGCCTGTTTGGGCAAGGCGGGTCAGTCCAGCGGGGTGGATCTGGGGAACCTGAGAGATGCCGAGGGTCACTTCCAGCGTGCCAGCCTCCAGAAAGCGGGACAATTTCACAAGGGCACGTCGCACAAGGGCCACAGGAGCACAAGGTACAGCATGGAGTACATAAGCACGGAAAAGCATAACTCGATTATGCATCCCTCACTCCCCCCAAAAGTGATTGATTCATCGATCGGACTCGGACCGGTGACCTCGGTCTGAGCTTTCCATGTTCACGTTTTCATTGAAAATGGAGTCGTTTTGGAAGGCCTCGTGGGGACTAAAGCAGAGACGTGTTTGACGTTTACCCTCTCTCTCTCCCTTCAACTCTCGGACACGGTCATTCCTTCCCATCTTGACGGCGCACAGCGAATGCGACGGGCGAATTAAACAGTTGTGCTCACTGCTGAGTCTGACAGCGGGCCTAAGCACCGAGTCAACCATGCGCTTTTATCCGTTCCAGAACGTTTGGAAATGAGCCCGTAAACTCTGTCTCAGCTCCAATCATGTCATGATCTAACCATCTTCCAAACCTCGTTGCAACCACAAGCGGACACGTCGGACTTTGATTCTTTCAAAAGACGGACGAGTGTCTGCACCTCTTGGTCAATATGGTATCCTAGACGACGACCCCCGTCTTCCTTACCCAGGATAGCTTACCTTACCTTAGGTCAGCCCATTCTATGGATACTTAGTATTTCGTACACTAGTTCCTAGTCCAACCCCTCCAAAGGCACTTTACGCGGTTTCCCACGTCTTACCTAATCACTGGATCGTAAAGGGACCACCACGGTGCACGCCCGACCCTCATTGGCTGCAAGAAAAGATTCTCTCCTTCTTAGTGACCCTCAACACAAAAGAGACACACAAACCCATTGGATATTACCTTACTGGACTGTGGGCTTTTTGCCGTTGGCCTCCTTTTCTCCCTTTCGTCGTGATGAAACCCCCAAACCCCCTCCGTCACCAACCCTCCCTCTTTTCACGAGCTTGCGCCCTAGCACGGAGCAACAATGCGCGTCGCCAGCCCCTAACGCCGCGACTTGTCCGGTTCCAGCCCACGACGGCATCACCAGCAGCTGCAACATCCTGCATAGCCTCATCCTCCTCCTCGCACACGTACTGCACTTCTTCGTCACGAGGTAGTCCCTCCTCCACCAACCCTGCCACCGCACTACTCACCCGCTCCCGCCTCCGGCCAACAGCAACTATGCCCTCCCGCCGGACCCCGTCGCCGGCCATGTCCGCCGTCGCCGTCCAGACCCGGTCGGCCTGTGGATGCGCCTGCAGTGGCGGTGGTGGATGCGGCAGCGGCGCCGCCAAACCTAAAGGTCCGAGCACGGCCTACATCGCTCTCGGCAGCAACCTCGGCGACCGCGTTGCCTGGATCGAGCAGGCCTGCGCCGAGATGGATCGCCGCGGCATCAAGGTGAAGCGTACCAGCAGCTTGTGGGAGACGGAGCCCATGTATGTGTTAGATCAGGATAGGTTCGTCAATGGAGTTTGTGAGGTTAGTGACACTCATTCTTTGAACTCTCTATTTCACTCTGTCCCCCATCATGAGCTTCAGATTGCATGTGTGATATTCATGCACTTCTTGAAAGCGTATCTATGCCAATTGACTTTTTACTGATCGGATGACATACAGGTCGAGACTGAACTCGAACCTTTGGCTCTTCTCGACGAACTCCAGGACATTGAGCGCAACCTGGGCCGTAAGAAGCTGATTGATAAGGGCCCCCGCAACATTGACCTCGATATTCTCATGTATGGTGATGAGAAGATTGAGCATTCTCGTCTCAACGTACCTCACATTGGCATTCCCGAGAGAGAATTCGTCCTGCGACCTTTGGCTGAGTCCGTCCTCTCATACGTCCTCTCACATGACATGACAACTAACACACCTCATCCCAGACTCATTCCTGAAAAGCCTCTCTACGCATCCAACCCCTGGAAACTCACCTTGGACTACCTCAACGAGCTTCCCCCCTCAGCGGCGCCCCTCTCACCACTCACCCCCATCTCCGCCTCTCACCCTCCCCTCGCCGCCCTCACATCCAGCCGCCAAACCCACGTCATGGCCATCATCAACGCCACCCCGGACTCCTTCTCCGATGGCGGCGTCCACAACCCCCAAAACCTCGTCACGACCCTCAAATCCTTCGCCGCTGCCGGTGTCACCATTGTCGACGTGGGCGGCTGCTCCACCGCCCCGGGCCGCCCCGAAGTACCCGCCGACGAGGAACTCGCCCGCGTCCTCCCCGTCATCAAGCTCGTCCGCGCCCTCCCCGAACTCGCCCACCTCGCCGTCAGCATCGACACCTACCGCGCCTCCGTCGCCGAGGCCGCCGTTGCCGCGGGCGCGGACATCATAAACGACGTCTCGGCCGGCCAGCTCGACCCTGCCATGATCCCCTACATGGCGCGCAGCAACCGCACCGTCTGCCTCATGCACATGCGCGGCACCCCCGCGACCATGAACTCGCTGACGGACTACCCGGACGGCCTGATCCCCACCATCGCCCGTGAGCTGCTCGAACGCGTCGCCGAGGCCGAGGCCGCGGGCGTGCGCCGGTGGCGCATCATCCTCGACCCCGGGTTGGGCTTCGCCAAGACGGGGCCGCAGAACCTCGAGATCCTGCGCCACATGGACGAGCTGCGTTCGTGGCCGGGCCTGGAGGGGTTCCCCTGGCTGGTTGGGTCCAGCCGGAAGAGCTTCGTCGGCAAGTTTACCGGAGTGTCTAAGCCTCAGGAGCGGATTTGGGGCACGGCAGCCACCGTCGTCTCGGCTGTCCAGGGCGGCGCGGATATTGTCAGAGTTCACGATGCCGTTGAAATGTGCCAGATTGTCAAGATGGCAGATGCCATTTACAGACACTGAGCAACTTGATTCATTTGGCAATAGAAGGGTAATAAAATAGAATATGTACAACAAACTGGGAATCAGCGATGGGTATAGACTTCCTGTATGATAAGATGGCAACAAAAGGCTTTGGTTTCACGATCCAACTTCTTCAACTTCTGCTTCAGCTGAGCATTGACTGAACAAGCTCTCTTGATTCACAGACAATACTCAAGACAGGCTACGAATTCTTCCGGACTATTTCGACCATCATTGCAGAGAAACAACCAACAGCCCGAAGTAGGAAGTCGTGAACATCATGGTCGTCTGCAGGATCTCCCCTAGGTCCCCGCGCTCCACGAGCTCTTTGGCTTTGAGGGTAGCAGGTTCCTAACGCCCTTGTAAGCCCACCAATATCCTGACTCCCTTGTCTTTAGCCAGGGACGCGAGGTGCTCTGCCTCGATGCTGTTCCGCACCAGGGGCCACTCGCAGAAGACGGCGCTTTTCCCGGCGCGGATGGCGGTTCCGACGGCGGCGGCGTGGAGGTGGACCTTTATGGTTATGGCTACGGGGTCGATGTCGGAGTCGGAGACGAGGGCGTCGAGGTTGCCGTAGGCTTTGGTGTCTTGGGGAAGGTTGTGGAGACGGACTGCCTTTTGGAGCTGTTTTGGAGGGCTACGAGGTTGTATTGTTTGGAGTGCGTGAAGTAGGGGAGGTGGGCGGCAACGGCCCAGGACCATTCGCTGTCCTCGTTGTTAGTCTTTGGTGAGTTCGAGAGTGAAAAGCGTGGCTGGTTATATACGGTCGGGAGGAGAGGCCGATGAAGCCGACGTTGGTCACTTGGGGGGCCATTTTGGATGATGAGATGCCCGTCGTTGGGGCGATTGAGATTCTAGTCTGTGGTTGTTTAGATTGAATGAATTATAGAGAGGAGCGTCTTAGATCGACTCGTCCTGACATCTATATACTAATCCTGAGATGTGTGTCATAATCTTTACATTCATCGCGAGATTTCTCATTCTCGTCTTCACGGATTTCGCAAGCTAACAAACGTCGATCAATGTTATCGTTATGCAGTGTGTGTTCGTAGGTAAAGTTGTCATCTGGAATTGGTGGTTTACATCGTTGAGCTCCGTCCGGGCTTAGTCAAAAAGCTTAATATAAGTCCGCCAACTCATCCGCCATCTTGAAATGGGCTCAGAATAAAGTCGGTTCGATTTCCGCCGTATCCCAGAGGGATAAAGTTAGCTAAGATGAAATCAAAATTGCTATTGCGTTATGAAGAAATTTCCGTACACATGATGAATATCACGGTCAAGGGCTGCACGTTCATCCTCGTTGAATTAGTCATTCGTGATACAAAACTCGAAGACCCATAACGCAATACTTGGCCCCGACTTGGGAGATGTCAGCTTCAGATCAGAAACAGATGTTCTGTGTGCGATAAGTCCGAAATGACGGGCAGGTCCCATCTGATGCAAGGCAAGTCAACCCAGCAGCTAGACCAAGATCTCGAGCTGGGAGATGGCTTCCATCACGTTATCCGCAGACGGGTAAACAACAGAGGGTCTTCAACCGGTGCTTAGAGTGGCTGACGTTATTTGATACTGTGGGAGAAGGTCGTTGTTACTGGGAATAAGTTAGTAGGCAAATATGAGTTGGCATAATTCCAATCAGCCCAGGCAAAAGAGTTCACCCCCCCCCCCCCCGGTGTTGAACTGGGGGCTACATCTCTGGCGCTCATGCTGGGATTCGAACTCGGGTACTCGTATGTGCTGAGCCTGTCGTCGAGTAGGCTGGTTGGCCTGTAAATTGGTTGTTGACCATGAACCATTCCACCACCCACGCCACAGTTTGACCTGACCCCCGGCCTAGAGGGCGCCTGCTGTGCTGGTGACGGAAACGGGATTGAGGGGGTATATGATTTATTTTTCGTGGGTGTTCTGCCTGAGTATTCCGTGAGTATTCCACATGAGTATTTCACACAGATATGCTTACGTCCAATCGAAATACACCCTTAGGGCGCTTTGAGTGATATGGCAAGATGTATGGCAGCGGCGAGAGATCTTCAGAAACCGCCCAGCCTGAGCAAGAATGACATGAAATACCATGCTGATCTATTAGAATGTGCTCTGGGTGTATTAATGACAGAGATTATTCACATCACAGGAATAGCTGTCACTATTCGACTCGAGTATTCTGTATGGATGTAGTGTATTAGTGATTATGTGATTGTTGTACACTACTACTCCAGTATTGCCTATCCTATGTATCGCGTCGAACTTCTTTTGTCAACGCCGCAGACTGTTTGTTTGCCTGCCCAAAAGAAAGAGGTACTAGCAATACGCGATTTCATTTTGCTGAAACCGAACCAGTTTGTATGGTATCAACCATCAATGCCCCAAGGCTCAAGGATATCCTGTTACTGCCCACTCCAAAGCAGAGAGACTACCCTTACACAATTCCACAACGCCGAAAGCCTACGCCAGTATGCCAGGGTATCTTAGCTCCCAAGGTCCCAATATTTGAATGTCCTTTCCGTAACCCCCAAGTCTCCGAAGGTAGCAAGAGTCACGCGCTCCATTGTCAGCCCGAGAAGGCGCCAGTTCGCCAAGGTCCCTTCCCCATGACCCATCACCTCTCCCAGGCTGCAAGAGACACGAGCTCCATTGTTCAGCCTGAGATATGTGTGTGAGGGTGTGTGTATGTATGTGTCTTCCTTAACGGAAGCCCAACTGCTCCACACTTTTGCACTCGGCGGCGCCATAGTCGTTGTGGGTAGCCTCGTACCAGGCGGCCTGGACCATGCCGGGGTTGCAGAAGGTGGAGGCGACGAAGTGCCAGATCAGTTCGCCCTTGTCGGTGCCCGCGCGACAGGAAGCGTCCGAGGCGGCGGCGCAGGCGGGGAAGCGTCTGAGGTTGTGCCAGAGATCGCCGCAGACCTTGGGGGCGTCGTCGACGCCCGAGTAGGCCCTGAGCGAGTAGGCCTGGAGGACGCGGTAACTCATCTGCTGGTGCTGGCAGAGGGCGCCCCCGTGCTGGACGAAGTCGTCGACTGAGGAGTCGGGATCTTCGGGGGTCGCGATGCCTGTGTTGTTGACCTTGTCGTCACCCTCTTTGATGGTGGGGACGCCTGCATCGGTCTTGTCGTCGCCCTCTTTGGTGATGGGGACGACTGGTTTGGTCTTGGGGCGATACTGTTGAGGGACGATCTTGTCTGTGTTGATCACACCAGCACCCTCTGGGATGAAGGCCTTGTCTTTGTCGCTGCTGCCAACATACTTAACGAGGTTGGGGGTGCCTGTACCGACGACATCGTTGTCTCGGCGGGCGTTGCCAGTAGGAGCGGCGTGAGCGCCGAAGAAGACGGTGGCAGCGAGAGCGATGAGGGAAGTAGAGAACTGCATCTTGACGACTGAAGTTGGGTTGCTTGTTTGTGTGGTTGGGTTGTAAGTTGGTTGGGTAGTAGTGTGTAAGTGGTTGGGTTGACTTCTTGACAAGATGCAGTGATGAGAGTGGTATGTAAGATGGATGGAGGATGAACAGAAAAGAGGAATCAGAAGGGGGGAAAGGGTCGGATCTTATAGGTTTCTGGAAGATACAGGCCGTCACGGTGTCTGCATTTAGGAGTCTTTTCTGACTCTTCGTGCCCTAATGTGCTCAACCTGGTGGGATTGATGAATGTCAAAGAAGGCTTTTTTTCACTGTGTGAGCATGTTCCTGGGCGGCCCGTTGCACCAGAACTTCGGCATCAAGGTTCAGAACCATGGACTCGGTTTGAAATAAACACGGCTGTTGGAAACCTTGACGGGAGGTTAACTGGCGGTGCGGGTATGTACGTCAACCTTGAGGATATAAGGCAATGGGTCCTTTCTCCGGCCTCTATTGAAAATTGTCGGAGATAGGCGTACAAGTTTAATGACAATTTCTACGAGGTTGAAGAGGTGTCTGATCCAGGCTACTGGCTAGCCTGAAAAGACCTGGTTGAGCATAGAGGTATGAGCAGCAGAAAAGTTTGAACCATAGTAGTTGAGATACGGCTCTGTGAGTATCGAGAGAAGATGTTTGACAGCGGAGTATAACGAACCGCACAATCGTCCATGATCTAGTCCCCGTTGTTCAGAATATACTAGGTAGAGCAAGTAATCAGGTAGATTGATAAACCGCACCTCCAGACTCGAAGAGCCGACGGCTTCATCTGCAACTTGATCCAGAGGGTTCGCCATTATATATTTGAAAGCACTGGGCACGAAAGGGGGCAAATAATAGAAAGAAATTCATACATCACTACACTACCGGACGCAACCTTCAGTAAAACAACGCCGGTAGTTCCGACAACGTAGGAATCATATCGTGGGTGATTGTTCAGCCATTCGCTGACCAACATACTTGATCGTGTCAAAACTTCAGGTTTTTACTTTTGACCACTAACATCATAAGCAGAGCCCTACTCAGAAATTTTACCTTCAATGTCCAGGAAGCAAATTTGAGTACCATTCTCCCGTTGTTTTCACACTTAGTTGTGACTTGCAAAACAAGCACTTATACCATCTTCCCCCCTTCATTAATATCTCGTGAGATCTGTTTTCCGTCTTTTGTATTGAGAGAAATGAAGAATTGCAAGTGATATCTGTTCAAATAGCCAGACTGGATATCTGGAAGGTGAGCGGCCTGTGTAAGTCACTCTAGCCACTCTACCTAGCCCTACTTTGCATCGGAAGCAGCGGTTCACAGGAGTTCCGATGTTGACGTTACCGTTGCAGTGCTAATCGCCATTGTTAGATGACCAATACCGTAAAAACAGAAGCTGACAGAAGCCATAAAACAGATCCATTAGCTCTGAACCTTTCCACCATCGTTCCCAAGCTATTTTGCGGAAGCTAGGACTTATTGCCAAAGTTGATGAGAAGAGGACTAACCCTGATATCGACCGATTGTTTCCTCATACCATCCTGAGTCACCACTGCTCTATCTTTATAAGTAATGAAGACGCTGGACGTAGCGAGTGAAGGAATTGGCTCGGTGAAGGGTGTTGGTGAGGAGGGATACGCCAGAGTACACGACCATCAAGGAAAATAGAGCTTGCTTTCTTCAGATGATATGGCATCCTGCAATCCCCTACAGGTTATTGTCTTAGGAGACGAGGGTCGGAACTCGAAGGTGTGGTGTGTTGACGCATGGTCTGCGGCGGACACGCCTCTAGCCCAGGCGGTCACAATTGCGGCTCCGGATTTCGGGGGAGTGGGGTCTGCCCCAGCGCCGGGAAAGACAACCGGATGCGCCCGGCTGACCACCCGCTCCCCCCGTCTAGAGGGCCTGCAGAGCACAAGGCCCAAGTCGCAGAGACAACTAAATCTAGACCCTTGATAACATCGTGTCCAAGTGCAACGACTTCGTGAGCATGTCTGTCTCTCTTCACATGCCTTTTGGTGATATCACAGGGTTTCGCGACCGGTGAAAGAACTGCTAGGATCTTACTCCATTTCATGTCCGTCGTCTAGCTGGATAGCCGCAACGAGACTTTTCAAGAACGAATGGCCAGCATACAGCTTGATTTCGCGGCTTCGTATCGCTGAAGTAGGGTCAGGAGGAGTTTGGAAGTCAGAAAAGCCCCCCCCCCCCTCTCCCCCCGTTAGTCCTGGCCTGACAGGTGAAACAGCTGTTGCCCCTGACAGACGTCCCCTCAACCACAAGGTTGGGGAAGGACTTTTTCTTTTAAATCTAGTACTCGGTTCCCATCCCATTATCAAACGACAAAACTCACAATTGAAATGAGCATGGATTCACCAATATCTGACAGAGTTTTCTGTATTTCCATTCTGTTCTGCTGTCGAAGAAATATAGAGGGTGGCAGGGGGAGCGAAAGTATCCAGCCCAGCGCTGCTTGTTTCAGTAACGGCCCCTTGAACGCCACGAACCCGGCGTTGACACGATCCTGCGACGGCCGATCCGTTTCGATTTTTTCCCGCTCTTGTCACTGTAACGCAAAACCTCCAAATCTCCAATTGAAGGAACAGAAATGTCAGGCGCACGGCACGGCGCGGATTAGCCGTGAGTACGGATTACTCCTCCGTAGTCGAGAAAAAGGCCAAAACACCAAAACATATCAGTATACAATCAATCTATACAGATCAAAGATCTTTTCATCTGAACTTCGGCGTGGCGTGCGCATATTCATTTCCCTCCCCCCCACTGAAGCACACAACATTTGAAAGACGTTCAAATTGGCAAAGCCAAAATTATGAGATCGTCCAATCTCGCCGTGTGGCTATCAATCGCAGCCAGCGCACTCGCATGCGACGGCGGCGGGCACGACGACATCAGCGCCCTCGACACAGGCTTTGGGACCGACAGCCATGACGCGCAGCAGCAGCAGCAGCAGCAGCAGCTTCGGGATCGCATATGCGCCTCGAGTCCGTTAATGTTTGCATCATTGCAGAGCACCATTACGAAGAACGACACGTCTCAGTACGGCGTCCTTGATACCGCAGACGAACCCCTTGTTGATGAGGGCGTCGTGCCTGATGGACTGGGTGACTCGGAAGAGGCGCGGATTCGTTATGGAACAAGTAGGTCCTTTGTACATCTCACATCACCACATACTCTCCCTCATCTTACCTCACCTTACCTCATCTCATCAACGATTCATCACATCGCCTCTCATCTCAACGCACAACATCGCCTCACTCACCTCACCTCATCTCACACTCACTCCTCATTTACTTACACTTCCTCCCAGATCTCAAATCAGCATCCGGCCTCTGGCAAGTCCGCCCCTCCTCAGGAAAAGGCCTCGGCATCTTCGCCCTCGCTCCCATCCCCTTTGGCACCGTGATCATAGATGAAGCCCCCCTCTTCACAATCAACCCAGGCCGCCTCACCCCAGGCCAAGGCTTCGCCTTCGCCGCCATCGCAACCCTCGTCGACCAAGCCTTCGCCCAACTCAACGCCTCCAGCCGCACAGCCTACCTCTCCTGTCCGGCGCACCGCGACCCCGGGGGAGCAGACGTCGGCATCAGCAGGGAAGCCCTCGTCTTCCGCACAAACGGCTTCACCATGAACTCTGGCGAGATCGGCATCTTCCCGCACATTGCAAAACTCAACCACGCGTGCCGTCCCAACGCGGGCTCCGCCTCGGTCGGCGGGCGGAGGGTGATTTGGGCGGGGAGGGATATCGCGCCCGGCGAGGAGGTGACGATTACCTACGCGCCGTTGGTGCAGGATACGGAGGCGCGGCGGGCGCGGCTTGCGCAGTGGGGGTTCACGTGTGACTGTGCCGCGTGCGAGGCGCGGGACGACGACGATGAAAGAATCGAGATGAAGAGGCTGATGGGGCTCATTGAGCGGGAACTCGGGAGCGATGCGTTTGGCGGCGACGTGTTGCCCGACGCGGAGCGGCTTGTGCGGCTTGTCGAGAAGGTTGGGCTGGTGGATTACCTGAGTAAAGCGTATAAATATGCTTCGTATGCGGCGTCGAGGTCGGGTAAGTTTGGAGCGGCAAGGAAGTGGGCGAGGAAAGAATTGAAGATTCATGAGATTGCTGATGAAGAGTCGGAGTATGCGAGGGAGACGAGGGCGTTTTTGGCGTCGCTTCCGTTGTTGTGAAGTGGCGGTTTGTGTGGAACAGTTTACAAGATTTTCATCAATGGTTGCCGGCTCGCCTCTCTCGGAACCGAGGAACCGAGTCAAGGTCGGCATAGAAAAGTGGTTCGCGAGTCGGTCCAGTCCCCGCGGTTGAGTCACCCCGGCCGGTTGTGACGCGGCCGAAAACCGTAACCGGGGGAGGACAGGGAGAGGGGGCGGACCTCTCCGCAGACTTGACTGTCCGTACGGCCACCGCTCTCCCCTCCTTTGGGGGGAGTGGAACCCCCGCAGATCCGACCGGGCGCCTCAAAGGGCTCCGTCCAGTGTTCGGCGTGAGTCACTCTGTGCGGAGGTGTGGTTGAGAACACCAACGCAAGCTGGCAAACCAGCTCACATGGACCGCGACTCCAAGTACGAGATGAAGGCGAGAGGGATACGTACCTCGCAGTTCCTTTGCAGGGAAGAAGGCACAACGCCACCAACCTGGACAGACCAGACGCGCTTATCCTCCCGTACCATGCTATCCCAATCTGTGAGGTGTTTGGGAAGCAGATGCGAGCATCGATAGAAATAAGCACCTTAATTCGTCTTGGCACAAGCCAGAGGACTGAGCAAGAAATTAATAAAATGTGAAGAATACCCCAAGCACCTCAAACTTGAGGCACGGCATCGAATTCAATCATCTCTGTTCAGCGGGTTTCGCTTTGATTTCCCATCCCTTCGCGATCCTTTAACCGAGTTCAATCAACTGTCCGAACCGGGGGGGGGGGAAAAAGGTCACAGCAATGACGTCGATAGCGTCCGAGTCCGTGGCCACGATCCTCTGCACCAGCAAGCAGACGCGCTTCAACATCCAGACAGCAGATTATCGAGAAGTAATTTTTTCTCAATCAACCCCCAATAGTAAGTGCGCAGACCAGCTGACACAAAGTCTCCCTTTCACAGCTGGACATTGATGGCCTCAACATCACTGTTACTTCGGCTCGTAAACCCGGCGGTGGTAGTAGTGCCAAGGGCAAATCCAAAGCCCGGAGCGAGGGGACCGAGATCCTGGTCGACGCCAAGCTGCGTCTGAAGGCCGGCCAACGGTACGCCCTCGTCGGAAGAAATGGTTCAGGCAAATCGAGTAAGCCCACCAAAACAGAGTATGAGAGCAACTTGAGCACTCCAGTCGCTGACCCGACCTTTAAGCACTCCTCAGAGCCATCGCCGAGAAGTTGATCCCCGGCATACCCGAGGTGACTCGGATATCTCTTCTCCAGCAAACGAGCATCAGTGATAGCGACTCGGACGTGCGCCCCGAAGACAACGACTCGACTGCTACTCCTACCCCAGCGAATGGCTCCGTTCAGAGCAGCTGTACCGTGTTGGAGCACGTTATTGAACAGGCGACTGCGCGGTCGGATGTTGAACAGGAAATCAGAGGTTTGCCTGATATAGCCTTTGTATCTTCCCATCGACCTGGAACTAACATTCACAGCTCTCTCCGATGGCATCAATAGCACAGACTCCCTCGGCTCCGTACGCGCCCTTCGCGCTCTCCGCCATGAGAGAAACCAGAAGCACCTCTTCCAAGTCGACAAGAATGCGAGGTTGCGCAGCGGAGACCGCGGCCTAGCAGCACGTAAGGCCTTGAAGGCCTTTGAGAAAAAAGTCGCCGAGTCTCAGTCACTGTACGTTTGTTGGCTCCTTTCCCATCCAATTCCGTGGGTGGCACTGACCCAAAAGCCAGCGTCGATCAGCCGCAAGATGAAATATCGGCCGAAACCATCAAGAGCGAGACGCAGGAGGCATTAGACATGCTCGCAGATCTCCAACTGCAAGTCGAGCCGTCCAGAGTAGCCGAGACAGAGTCCAAAGCCAAGCGCATCCTGACAGGCCTGGGGTTCTCCGAGGCATACATGTCAAAACCCGTCACCAGCCTATCTGGCGGGTGGCGGATGCGGACCGCGCTCTGCACATCGCTGCTCCAGGAGACCGACATCCTCATCTTGGATGAGCCGACAAACTTCCTCGACCTGCTTGGTATCATCTGGCTTCAGCGGTATCTGGGGTCCCTTCAAGACACGGACGACGCTCCGACGCTCATCCTCGTGTCGCACGACAGAGACTTCATCACCATTTGCAGTGATCTCCTTATCCTGAAGGAGAAGGGGTTAACGTACTTCCACGGTGACCTTCCAACATACGAGGCGTCGCAGTCGGAGCGGAAACTCTGGTTGACAAAGATGAAGGATGCCCAAGACAAACAAAAGGCTCATATCCAGCAGAGCATCTCCAACAACATCAAAGCAGGCAAAGCTAATGACGACCAGAATAAGCTGCGGCAGGCCAAGTCTCGCCAAAAGAAGCTCGACGATCGATGGGGCCTCACGGTCAGTGCCAAAGGCGGCCGCTTCAAGCTGAACCGTGATCTTGTTGGCTTTCACCTGACAGCCCGCGAGGATATAGACGTCCCCCAAGATGAACGACCAGTGAGCTTCGTCTTGCCGGAACCTCTGGATCTTCGATTTCCGGGGCCTCTCATATCGGTAGAGAATGCAACATTCCGTTATCCGACTAGAGCCAAGACGAAGCTGGCGGCACCAACAGTGTTGCAGGAGGTAAACCTGTCTGTTCACATGGGTGACCGGATTGGCATCCTCGGCTTGAACGGGGCCGGGAAGTCGACTTTGGTCAGGCTTCTAGTCGACGAAACGAAGCCCACATCAGGGACGGTGACAACGCACCCGCGGCTGAAGCTGGGATATTATTCGCAACATGCCGTCGATGCTCTGCAAGAGAAGGGCCGAGGCGAACCTTCATTGACAGCGTTGTCGATGCTCGTGGGGGAAGTAGGCGGGGAACTGGATGAGGGTCAAGTCCGTGGCGTTCTAGGCAGTCTCGGTCTGCCTGGTCGCACTGCTTCCGATGTACCTCTTGGGAAGCTATCAGGAGGGCAGCTTGTGCGATGTGAGCTCGCACGTCTTCTGTGGCGGAGACCTCACTGTCTCATTCTTGATGAAGTTACCACTCATCTCGACTACGAGACTGTGACTGCTATGCGTGAAGCACTCAGGGACTGGGAGGGCGCAGTGGTGCTCGTCAGTCACGATAGGTGGTTCATGCGCGGAGCAGTTGAGGGTCTTGTCGAGGACTCTGACAGCGAAGAGGATGAAGATGAAAAGGGGGTACCCAGACGACGGCTTGTGTACAAGTTGAGACAAGGGAGCATGACGCGCCTAGAGAGCGGCGTCACCGAATTCGAGGAGAGCGTTGCGAAGAGGGTGACGAAGCTACTAAGTCTGTAGAGAGTAACAAACTGCCCAGGCCCACCATGGCTCGGCCAAAATCTAGGACGGTGCCCAGAGTCCCAGCTACTGAGGAAATTGCAATGGAATATGATTGCGTAGGAACATGGCGCATTCGTACCAATTACCAATACACTAGAAATCCGCGTCCAAGGCAGAAGAATACTGAACCAGTCGATTGGACTGGCGAGTCAGGCGTGATCCGCCCGGTACACGTGTAGTTCGTCTTATATGTGGGGGTTCCGGAATCCGCGCGTCGAGTAGGTGCAATTGCCCAGTGTCTCGATCCAGTCCAAGTTTCTTTAGCTTCGCTCGCATGAAGTATCCAGTTTTCCAATCTGACGTTGCTGAAAGCCGAAGACTCGACGAGTCTTGAAAAGCAGTCCGACCGCAATAGAACATCTGTGAAGACTTTTGAAGAGTGTTCAAAGATGAGGCCGTGGCGTATTCACAGCGTAAAACGCATAGGCCCGTAATGGTACAAATTTTTTGCTAGAGAGCCAACATAGAACAGCGCTATTTTCGGATATGTTAGGCGATTGATTGCCGCTGCGCCGGCCCGTTCAGTCGGGTCGGGATAGCGGCTACGGCGAAATTGGGGCGTTGCCTCAACGTCAACCAACCCTCGACTACTTTCATCAAAGTAGGATTTCCCAGCTGCCTCAGCTGTCAAAAGGGTATGAGGTGAGACCAAGCCGGTCAAGGGCTTTATTGGGAAACTCGAAATAGATGCCAGTTCGTCAGAAAAAGCGTGGACGAAAGCCGATCGATGTCGCGTCGATGGCTGGTTAATGCCGCCTGGTTGTTCGGCAGAGGTGACAAGGATTGGGTGGTATGGAGAGAAGATATTGTGGTTGTACTGTGTATGACAAGGAATGTCATGACACTGCCGGCTACCTGTGCCAGGCTGCAGCATTTTTCTTTTTCTTACTGGACAGGATCATTAGCTTGGAGGCCCCAAGAAGGAGAAAAGCTGCTTGCAGTCCTCTGCGAATACTTCCAGCTGCAACCTCGGGAGATTGTGGGCGGGAGGATCGGCACCATCAGCCGTGGTCGATCCCGGAAAGAAGTCAAATGTATAACATTGAACAGGAGGGTGCATTGTCGACGCACTGCTGCATTGGCTGAGAGAGAGAGAAGTCCAGGTTTGGCCCATGCGACGAGGCACAGACGGATGGAAACAATTGTGTTTGACTGGACCAGTGCCTCTTGGTGATCCGATGTTTGATTGGGTTGAGTTTGTATGCGCAGTGTGTCTGAGACCTCGTCGCGCATCTTGTGTGCGGATGTGTCAAGAGCACGAGCGAAACAGCTGAGAGAGTTCTTACGCAGTATACTCGGTACTCCCACCGGTAGCCGTAGCCCGTGGTAGCCGTAATTACTGCATATACTGAGTTGTAATAGCCCTGTCCAAACTCCAAATTGACATGTACCTTTCCGGGGGCCGATGCGTGTCCTAGGGGCTTGGTCGGGCGATGTTGCCGCTAGACCGGGCGACTCCAGGAAGCAGGGTAAGCCACAATGAGCTAGTAAGCTTTCTTGGTTGGCTACTTTTGGCCATCTGGGGTTACACTGGGGAATTTTGCACCTCAGAGACGGGAGTTCCAACTTCTGGAACAGTAGCTACAGAGATGGTTGTCTTCAGGACAAATTCGTAGATCACAACATTCCGTTGTGAGTGCCGTCGATTGTTCTTATTGTTTGTTTGATGAGGTATCTGGACTGAGGTAAACTGTAAGGTACCTAGGCTGCGAGCAAGAGAGAGGCAGAGGGTGAAACAAGCCGTGACGGGACGTGGAACTCTCACTCAGGAACCGTGTGTACGTACGGAGTACTTGCCGTGCCTCTCAACAGAACGCTTTTGCTGCCACATGTCTTCGGCCTCGGAACAACGCCCGTGACAAGGCACAGCGCAGCATAAGTGTCGCAGAGTAACAAAAAGGCATTGCCATACGTGGCGGTGAGACGAAGAGCAGAATTATAGGGGAAAGGAACAAGAAGAAAAAAACTGAATGAAGCGGGCAGAGTATCCGTACCTGGCATGGTGGCATGGAAGGATTCGCATGTGGACACTTGACAGGTTATTATCAAATTGCAACGACAGGACTGGGTCCGTTCCCTCCTTACCCGCCCTGGCTCGTGGAGATCTTTTCGAGGGTCACATAGTGCGATGTGCATCCGGGTAGGGCGAGCCCAGTCTGAGTTTCCCATTATTGCCTTGGGATGTACCCTTTTGGCTACAGACGCCCAGGATGGTACAGGTATCCGCAGCTACGTGTGCTGTGTGAGGCGCATCCTGCCAAGTTGACACATACCAGACACAGCCAGGAACACCACTTGGCCCGCCCTAAGGAGGAGCCTCTCCTCCTTCTTGGCTCTTGGGTTTCCAGAGTCAAGACTCCGCCTTCTTTCTCTGTGCGTGCGTAAGGTACCTTACCTTCAAGGCCAAGGAGTGCGTGCTGTCCAACATAAACTAAAGCAGGTGCTCCCCCGTCCCATCAGCATCAAAGTATTCACGTTACTTTTGACCTCCATCTCACCTTCTCTCCTCCCTACCACTCGATGACTTTTGCGTTCCTCCTTTCCCAACCAAGATCCTAGTTGATCCCGACTCTTGGATCGCTGCGCTTCGCATCGCTCGGGCGCCGTCTCTTCTCCTAAACACATTTTATAACGGAGCTCGGCGGAATCTGCTTCTCTCTCACAGGCTTCAGCTGCATTTGCCATTCCCGGCCATGTGAGCTGCTTGCTCTTGGGTCACGACTACGCAGAACTCTATAATCCCAACACCAGACCTTTCTGTTTCTTTGTCCCTCATGCCATAACCTTTTATTCTTCCTGCAGGGTCGCCGAGAGTTCCGATCAATAAACAGAAAGAAACGAACTGTCGGGAGGTTTCGAGTTCGACTCGCCTTCCAGATCACCTTTGCTTTAGCTTTCGTCAGTGCTCCTGCCCACCGGGACCTGATATGAACTATTAGCCCCCCCTCCTCCCACCTTCATCCATCTTTCAGGTAACCAATCTTGGCATCTTCTCTTTCACTGCATCAGAGTCATCAACCTGCATATTCGCTCGATCCAGTCTCGTTGGCGTGCGCTCATAGTTCCCTTGGCATCATTCGCCAAAGCTACCGTTGCTGCTATATTCGAAGAAGACCCGCATGCTATCGCCGCACGTCAGACAGTCAAACTTGATTCAGCACATTGCGAATTCTTCAAACGACCACTGTACATATACACAATGATTGCGAACTTTCATAACCCGAGGCGGCTTCGGACGCCCTTCATCGCCATCATCGTTTTTATCCTCATCACCGGATTCTTCTTGCTCTTCCACCAACCGCTAGTCCAATATTTTGTAATTCCTTGGACAGCAGAACGTAAGTCTAGCCAATGTCCTTTCTGCCACCCTGGTGTGCTAATTTGGGTTCAGAGTATGGCGGCAGCTGGATGAATGCCTCTTCGCCAAACTGGGTCCAACCAGCTCTCTATCAAGGTCGACCAGACAAATTTGGCGAAGCAAGTCAATACGTACAGGCGATTCTAGACCCCAAAAATGGTGGCTTTCCCATTGTCAACTGCCCTGCGACAAATGTGACTCGCTACGAAGTCCTGCGGCCTACCATGAACATGGACAAAAGGCACTACTTCTTTGCTCTCGACTTGCGACAGGTTAGAGATCTCCTGCCTCAGTTGATAGGAGCTGTTCTGGAAGCCATGAACGTCATTGGACCGGAGAACTGTGCCCTTTCAATCGTTGAGGGTATTTCTACCGACGGTACATATGAGACGTTATATCGCCTTAAATCCCACCTCGACCAGATGGGAGTTTCCTATCACCTTCAGACGAGCAGCATCGATTCCCATAGTGGTGACCGCATCGGCAAGCTCGCCAAGCTGAGGAATCTGGCGTTGGAACCCATGATGGCAGACGCGGATGCCTACGACCCGAAGGCCACAATTATTTTCCTCAACGACGTTGCTGCATGCACCGAGGATATCTTAGAGCTGGCATACCAGAAGCAGACGCAGGGAGCCGATATGACTTGCGCAATGGATTACCACTTCCTCCGATTCGCGCCGCACAATGGAGAACCGTCATTCTACGATTCGTGGATCTCTCGCGCTATCAACGGCGACACCTTTTTGCCGATTCCCGACAGAACACCCAAGGGAGAACAGTGGAGCGACGTGGCGAACATGTTTTGGAATCATCCGTACTCCCAGGATCGGTATCTCAGCCGTAAGCCGCTGCAGGTGTTTGCGTGTTGGAACGGAGGCGTTGCGGTCACTGGGGAGCCCTTCCTGAAGAAGCAGATTGACTTCCGGAGGTCATACCAAGGAGAGTGCCATACCGGCGAGCCAACACTGCTATGCAAGGATTTGTGGAAGCTGGGTCATGGCAAAATCGCCGTCGTACCGAGCGTCAGCTTGGCATATAATGTGAAAGACGGACGACAAATCAAAGAAGAGAGGGGGTTTGCGTCGGCTTGGACCATTAATGAGAATAATGGGGAGCCTCCCAAGATCAATTGGCAAGAGGAGCCGCCAGCAATGGTCAAGTGTATGCCGACATTTAGGAACCAGTTCTGGCGGCCGTGGAATGAAGGACTGTGAAGAGGCCCTACTCGCATCAGGCGCTATAAGGGGAGTAGGAGATGGAATTTTCATTGTAGAGAGCATCAACCATGATACCCGGTCGCATAGTGTTTTGGGATAGCAGGCGCTAATATCAACTATCTTTGAACTTTGCATCTCCGTATTTGACGATACTATTGGTGTAACAGAATCCCAAGTATTTTTTGCGTGGATAGCATGCTTACTCAGTTGCTTAGAGTCTAGTTTGACGTCGTCAAAGACGGCAACCTGGGATCGGGAAGCCACATCTTGGTAGCTACTAAGCCGTGGTCCCATCGGCCCCGTGCCCCTTGCGTCGGGACGCCGTTGCACGTTACATGCGTACCGTATCTTAGGTCCCAAAGGCTGTGTACAAGCGCCAACTACTCGACGGATCCGGGGGAATGGGGGGGGCGGGGGGGGGCGGGGAGGCGTATGTGTCAGGTAGGGAGCCGGAAGCCGGCACTCCACATCTCCCCGCGTCATCAATTCCCGGGGCTCTCGGCGCGGTGGAGGGGATTCATTCACCTCCCTCCGGCTCCGGTGTCGGGAAAAACCCCCGGGGGCCCCGAACAGGTCGGCGGGGCGGCTTTTTATCTTCTCAACTTCCCCAATCGGCCTTGTTGTCCGGGGCCGGCAATGCCACCACGTTGCTCCGCGTCCATATGAGACAAGCATCTCTTCTTCCACTGGTCCAGATACTTTCAGTCCGGCTGGAATTGTACTTCACCTCCTTCTCCGTCTCCGTCTTCGGGCTGGCTCCGTCTCCTGAACCAATCTTCACGGCACGAGATTTTTACTCCAGGCTCTGGGTGGCACAGAGCCATAAATGTTAGATCCAAGGACACTTTGAGCGAATTCTCGGAATGGAAAGGCTGATATGAGGCAAGATACGTGCAATGTTGTGATGTTATTGTTTGTCCCAGAAGGATATTAAGGTTTATGATACTTTTGGGGCTTTCATCGAGCTTGGGAAGTTATATAGGTGTCTCCCAAGCTCGCCCAAAATGAAAAGGGGGGAATCGTAAGTACAGGTAAACAGCGCAAAGTTGGGTACGCTGTCCACAAAACACAAAAACAGGATATAAAGCGCTGATCGAATCCAAATCTCCAAACCATCCATCTTTTTCTTCGTCTCTCCCTTCGTATCCAGAAACACCGTCGCAAAAACACATCAAAGGTTCATCAAGCCGCTCCGTACATTTCAAGTAGATCAGGGGAATCATAAGCATCAGCAAAAAATTACGGCCAACATTAACATCCCAACAGAGCACGTGGATCCACTTCCGCCCGCTGCTTTCGTTTTCATTATACTCGTGACACATGGCACACGGACCCGGTATTGACGGACGAGATGCTTGAAGCAACATATTAAAGTCAATACCAGGTCAGTGCTTCCAAATGGGCCAGTCGCAAATTATTAGAGCAGCGCGGCGACAAAGGCAGCACCGAGGAGGATCGCCATGCCGGCGGGCCCGTTGCTGCTTCCGGCGTTCTGATCGGGGGCAGAGGCTGAGGTGGTCGCCGACGAAGGGAAAAGGGTACTCCTCGCGCTGGAGCGAGTCGATGTCGTGGCCAGGGTGGTGCCGTTGCTCGAGGCAAAGGCTGTGCTGGTACCGGCGCTAGGAACAAAGGTCGTGGAGGCCTCGGTGGTCACCTCGGTAGTGCTAGGCACCGCGGAAGTGGAAGGAGCGAGGGTGGAAGACGGGGCAGGAGTGCTGGAGGTGGTGACGACGACGACCGAGGATGAGGTGGTGGTCGGCGGTGCCTGCGTTGAGCTGGTGGTCGGGGGAGGGGTGGTCTTGCTGGTGGTGGGAGGAACAGAAGTGCTCGCGACGACGGGTGGGTCAGAGGTGAGGCCGCTAACGCCGTGCTTTGCGGCGCAGTCGGCGAGGTTCATGCCGTTGGGGCAGCAGGTTGTGTCGCTGTTGCTGCCGTGGGTGCAGTAGAAAGATGACAAGCAGGAGTCTGATGGGATGTGTTAGTATTCATGATGCAGTCTACAGGAAGTAAGTACATGGGACATCAACTCACTTCCGGTGGTGGTTGAGCAGCAAGTCTCGCCGGCGGCCGGGTTGAAGCAGTGGACGGCCTGGTCGGTGGACTTGCACTGCTCATAGCCGGTTCCGCAGGCCTCAGCGCAGGTGTTCCCACCCTTGTTGCAGACTTCGTCTGCGGGCTGGTAACCGTCGTCGGCGCGGCGCATGAGACCCAAATCTCTTCCGGCGGTGATGCTGCGCTTGAAGATCTTGGTCTGTTGTTGCGCGAAAGCCTGGGCAGCGAAGGCCACGAAGGCCACAGAGGCGAGTGAGCGGATATGCATTGCGAAAGCGGATTTGCCGGGGGGTCCAGCGGTGATTGAAAATGGTTCGATCGGGTAATCGGTCGATTAGAGTCTTTTTTCGAAATTTCCGAACGACAATAGACTCAGTGGTGGTCGTGTTGTGAGAGTGAGCGCAAAGTCGACGCGGAACGAGTGAATCGACGACGAACAACGAGAGTATCGACGGAGCGAAAGAGAGACGAGTACTCTGGACGTGGGATCGCGACGAAGGAGGTGTAAAAGAGTGACTGGGCTGGAGGGGCCTGACCTAAAAAGCGAGCGACGATGCAAAGAGCGTTGCGGGAGAAAGACAGAGGCAGAGCGAGGGACAGCGAAAAGACTGGAGATGAAGTGGAGAGAAAGAGTGGGAGACTGGGAGTTGAGTCGCGAGACGGGGGGAGGAGGACATGGGGTTGAGTCGGCGACAGGCGAAGGGTGGCACGGGGCAGCCCTGGCCTGGGATTGGGATTGGGAAAGCGTTACTAACACCAACACTAACACTACGGGTAACACTAACAATCTATCAGTGGCAGATGGACGGACTGGGCAAGAGACAGAGAGAGACAGAGAGACAGAGATGATGGCTGATGGTTGTTCACAAGTGCGCTCAGCACCGATTCGGAAGGATCCTCCTTTTAATTTCATTTGCCTGGACAGCAACCACTTGGAGTCGCTTGGCCGACAGGGCCAGCCACGATGACCCCGGCTTGGAGGGGAGCGCTTCCATTCGGATCAGAGGCTTTCCAGAGCAGCCAGTGGCCGGCGGTCGCTTGCTTGGTCGGTGAACAGACCGTCCCTGGGTTGTTGATGCTAGCCAGCCAGCATCGGCAGCCCCCAATGGATCCTGTTGGACGAAGAGTGGACGAGGTTGTGGCGGCTTGCCATTGTTCCCACCAGGTTCAAGCAGCGTGATGGATCATGGATGGTTGACTCCTGCTCCTGTTTGGAACTGTTTGGAGAGGGTGGCACTGGCCTTCGTGCGGCGTCTCAAGTGGACGGCAATGAGAAGAAAAAGGGGATGAACTGGTGGTTGTTTATGCGCCCAAAGTAGTTTGTACTTTTTGGTTTCTTTCTTTCGCTGCTCGCAAACTTGGTGGGCATCGCAACAATCTCTCGACCTCAACCCAGCCTCGCTGACCGCCACTGTCAACAGCAACAACAACAAGTTCGTCCACTCGTACGGATACAGACTCTAGTTGCAGCGGTCCCTCTCCGATGCCTCCACGATTCCACCGAGCGAGGGTGCCGGGGGCCCTGGAGCCTTTGAGAAAGATGGGCAAACGTGACCGTCCCCAGAAGTAGAGAAGCAGCAGGGAGGCTTGTCGCGACGGGGGGGGGGCATTTAGAGGGGCAGGTTAGACACTGGCAGGGAGAGACAATCCAGTTCCAGAGAAAGAGACAGAGAGAGAAACGACAGAAGTCGCAATGAGACCAGAAGGGAAAAGACCAACGGTGTGAAATCTGCGCCTGGGAAATGAGACAGGCGGCGCGCGCCAGCCAATCTTTCTTTTCAGGAGATTTCCAACGTGCGCCTTCCTCACCTCAGAGTCGCACAAGTTTTTTTTCTTCCAATCGTGGTGGCCCATTCCTTTTTAGGTGGACCCCCGCGGGACCCCCTGTTCATTCAGTCCCGAAAAAGCTAGTGCCGCCATCGGGTACCTTGCAGCGCCAACCCAGACGTGCATCATCCGCCAATCGTCTGGATGAGATTCTCTTAGTCACCCAGCCATTGTTCCCACTCACGTGCACTGTCTCCAGTAAGATATCGGCTGCGAACCTCTCTGTCTGTCGTACCTATCTCTGTGCCTTTGAGAAAGGCGGCAAGGCCCCTCCTTCCTCTTTCTCGTCTTCCTTCTCGGCCCCCACCAGCTCGGCCATCTGACGAACCATCGGACGCCGTTTCAGGTGGCGTCCCGATCCTGATTCGCCCGTTCGTCTAGGTCAACTCTTTTTCTCGACAAGCGTCACCTCTAAACGTACCTGCCCTTAGTCACTATACCTTCTTAGCCGCGGTAAAGAGGGTAATTGGGAAATGGGCATACAAAGTGCGTACGGATACAATGGGCAAATGAGAAGATGGCTCAATGCACCTAGGGATCTGGAAATTGCAACATGACGTTGCCTTTGCCAGGTTTCCCCATCATTGGATCCCCCCCCCCCCCCAAATCCAACCCAATCCCTTTTTTGCAATTGACTCTCTCTTAAGGGAAAGCGCCGCCGATTATTATCACGTCCAATTTCGTGACCATCCAGAAACGGTCAATCTAATGTGCCAATGAACCACGAGTTCACGATCCATGGCACCCTACTCCGGGAGTCCAGAGCACCAGTGATTGATGACCTACCTTACGGATACAAGACACCACATCAGGAATTAGCCTGGTCGATAGCCGCCGGATGGCCTCGAGTCCGGCTCAAACCCAAAACTGTGGCCGGCCTTTGCAATTCTGTTGCTGGCCTAACGCGACGTAGGTAGGATACGTGATGACGCTAAGCTCCAACGTCTCGTCGCGTTTCTAAATTATCGGATTATTTCATTTTTCCTGGGCTGCGTATCCGACCATACCCAAGGTAGATAGAGCGCAGAAACAAAGATGGTGAGAAACTTGTTGTAGCAGAATGGACCAGTTTTGAAACGCAGTTTCCTTCTTGCCATTGTTCCACTCGTCGACACCGTGTTACGCTCAACACTTCACCTGAATCCCAAGGTCGAAGTGTTTCTCGAAGAAAGGGGTCCAAGAAGGGTCCAGCGCGAACTGCGCTCAAACTCAATCGTGGCTTCGGACGATGGGGGGCCATCAGGTTCATACGACCAGACGTAACGCCGTAGCCTATCTTTGGTAGAGCTTTGACTATGTCATTGACTGTGCGCATTGTTGACATAACGCTGTTGATGCTGCTGCTGCAAGAAGACATGCCGAGGCTTGGGCTGTTGCTTTCGATGCGAGGACTCTTGGCGCTGAGGGCTGTTTTCGGGCGAGCAGACAAGAAGGGAAAGGGGTTAAATCCGTAGCCGAGACATCCTGAGCCGTCGATCAGCCTGATTTCTTCTAGATGGCGAATGCTTCATTGCCGTCTTTATCCGCCGAAGCTCTCCAAGACCTTGATATTGCCGATATATTATGACTGTATATCATCGCGCTGTTTGTTGGCTAAACTGCTCTAAATTTCTGAACTCGCTGGGGGCCGAACGTCTTTCGTCGTTGAAGCTATTTGCAAATGATCATTACTGCGCCGCCTCGCGTCAAGGTTTTTCTTGCCAGCTACTGAAGCTGGAGACTTAGCCAGCAGTCGGCCCACTCGCACCATGTGGAACATTTCGACTTGATACCTAATAAGTATTCTGTCCTATCTGATGCTATCTGTAGCAGGTTCTAGGTGTCCCCTAATCCTGGTACACCCTCGATCTCATATATCAGAACTCGTCCAGGGTCATAGGCTGGAGGGGATGGATCATGTGAGGAGGGACTCACATGGCACGTAAACTGTCGCATAGAGAAGAGCAGCCAACTTATAGACACGTGGTTTGTTTGCCGATATGACCGCAGGGGAAAAGTATTTCACCTCAGACAACCAAAAAGCCATCTAACCACATCATGAATCGAACAACAGAAGAAGCAGTGCCTTGAGAGACTTCACCGAGGTAGAACGCCCGCTCTACCTAAGGTGGCATCCAGTCCATGCATACATGGTATAATAGATGGTGGCATATGGTAGGTAGGTGATACAACTTCTAATCTCGCGAGGGAAAAAAAAAGAAAGAGAAAAAAGAGTCCCCCCCCCCCCCCGGGGGTGCCGAACTGGGGGCTACATCTCTAGTGCTCATGCTGGGACTCAAACCTCGAACCTGGCGTAGGCCAAGCCAGCTGAACAGGCTCGCCCATAAACATCCCGCCAAACGTCAGTTTTGACCTGACCTCGCAAGCCTGCTGAGGCGCCTGCTGCCGTTGGTGACGGGAATGGAGTCGAGAGGGGGGTATAAAGGCTTCCTTGCTCAGGTTTGCCACTCATCTGAAGGTTGAAGCCCATCAAGGTACTCGGCCTATAGTGGTGAGACGGGGAACCCGTGGCGGGGATCAGTCAATTTCTCGCCTAGTTTAGGAAGGAGGCGGGGGTGAGGAGATACTACGAGGTAGACCACCTACTTCCAAACCATGTATATGGCGTTTATTCATGATTAAGCCGAGTTTTCTGATGCGGTTTGTAAATGATTAAGAAGACTACCCCTGTCTCTTCTCAGCTTCAAACTGATATCCGGATAACAGTTCCCAAATTCCCGACAACCTCATCTGGAAAACACATATCACAAGACAGGGAGTAGCGGCATTCACCATGTCGAATGAGGCAGCAGTATGAAAGTAGGAGAAACTTTAATTAAAGGTACGGGTATATACAAGTTCTCTCTTCTATCCGTCGTGTCCGATGTGTTTATTATCTACACCAAATTCGTTTCATTCATTTCATCCAGGAGTAATGATTTAGAGGATGGGTTGGGTATTGAGGAGGAGAGAGGGAAAAAGGCATTTATGACTCCAAGTGCTTGGAGGCAGCCTTGTCGCCGTAGGCGTCGTCTCTGGCCGGGTCGCCGATGACGCCGTGCTCATCCGTGTTTCCAATCTTTGACGCGCTGAAGCTGTCGAGGTCCTTCTTCCAGACGGTGTTGAGGAAGATGGGGTAGGCGAGGGAGACGACGAAGCCGGCGAGGGGCACGACCATGGAGATGTGGTATCCCTTGGTGTCGGCGACGAGACCAGTGAGACTGGGGAAGAGGGCACCACCCTATGGAAGGAATTAGTCACAGTGTCTTGGAGGAGTACCAGAAGTTGGTGGATGATGGGGGGGGAGGAAAAAAAAAACTTACACAAACGGATGCGACGATCCAGGAGCTACCGCGCTTGGTGTGTCTGCCGAGACCACGGATGGCGGTGGTGAAGATGGTAGGGAAGATGCACGACTCGAAGAAGAGAACAATCGAGAGCATGGCGATGCCACCCTCGCCCTTGATGCCGATAGCCAAGGCGATGAAGATCATGATACCAGTCATGAAGACCATGAGGACGAGACGGGGCTTGATGACCATCATCAGACCCGCGGCGGCGAAACGACCAATCGCAAAGAGACCCTGGCCGATGGCGTAGCGGTCGCTGGCCTCGGAGTGGGTCAGGCCGGCGGACTCGACGGCGTAGGAGATGAACTGGGAGGCGACGGCGACCTGAGCGCCAACGTAGCAGAACTGGGCGGCGACACCGAAGAAGAGGCGGTACTGCTTGCGGAGGGGCTTGTCATCGTGGCCCTCCTCGCCGGCGACCATCTCGGCCTGGAGGGCCATGTCGCTGTCGGTGATTTCGGGGAGGGGCACGACGAAGAAGACGACGGCGAGGAGGAAGACGAAGGCGGCGATGCCGAGGTAGGTCCACTGCACCTTGGACAAGTCATTAGGCTCGGTGTGGGAGAAGAAGACGCGGGCGGCGAGGAGCGGGGCGATGACGGAGCCGACGGCCTGGAAGGACTGGGAGAGCTCGAGACGGAACTCGGAGAGGCGGGGCGGGCCGCAGGTCGCAATGAAAGGGTTGGCCGAGGTCTCGAGGGTGGAGAGGCCGGAGCCGACGATGAAGAGGGAGCCGCAGAAGCCGGGGAAGGAGCGGTAGACGGCGGAGGGCCAGAACATGAGGGCGCCGACGCCGTAGATGCAGAGGCCGGTGATGAAGGTCCAGCGGTAGCCGAACTTGCGGACGATCCAGCCCGAGTAGGTTAGGGGACCGATGAAGTAGGCACCGAAGTAGGCGCCCTGGAGACCGCCGGCCTTTGCGGCGGTGATGTTGAGAGCGATTTGGAACTTTGAGTTGAGGACGTCGAGGAGGCCGTACTAGGAAATGACTTTGTGTTAGTATGGAACCACTTCACGAATGGATAGTTGGCGTCAAAGGAATATGACTTACAGCGAAACCCCAGAGGAAGAAGAGGACGGTGACCAAGGTGATGGGCAGGATGGACTGCTTAACGGTCAAGGCCGACGCGCCGGTCAAGCCCTTGTTGGAGACGTTCTTGCGGTGCTGTTGCGCCGTCGCCTCGGCCGTGCTGGGCCGGCGCTGGTCGAGGACCTCGGCGACATCTGGTTCCTGTCTCTTGCCGAACATTGTGGCGGATGCGGTGATCGGAGTCGGGAGTTTTGGACGGTTGTAGGTAGGAGGAGGAGGAGGAGGATGGAAAGCCCAAGAAAGACGAGAGGACGATGAGATGATATATAGATGAGACGAGAAATCACTCAGAAAAAACCCCCGCTAGATTGGCGAGTGTAATTTGTTTGAGAGTGAGAAGAGTCAGATGCTTTACTGCTCAGGAAGTTCCCTGCTGGCTGATGGAGAAATTCTTCTTCCTTCATCTCGGTGCGGCTTGTCGCATTCATATATACTCATGAAATCCCCGGCCGGGGTGTGTGAGTGAGCCCCCAGACCCAAGGGCCCATGGGGTTACGACGCGACCACGATGATGCGGAGAACTAGCCGGAGCTAGAGAGAATATGGGAAATCTCCAACTCGGCGAAACCGTCGTGCCCATTACCCACGCCACTTGGCTGGGGGGGGGGCCATAGACTGGACTGGGTGAACAAGCTAGGCCTGGCTGGATCCGACGTCGTGGTTAAGGTGGAGTTTTTCCCTGGTCCGAACTAAGGTAGACTTGGTCGCATACGACTCTCACCTCGTCTCTTTTCTGCCCTTGGGGGGCTACTACGGAATGTTCCCAACATTGGCACGTTTTCCCAGGTTTTGGCTGCGCACTACTGAACAAACCCAAGTCTACAGACTACTGTAGACAACCTTCACGGCATGCGAGAAGGGGGTGGAGATCCACACCACCCTGACGGCAGAGATCTCGCTCAAACACCAGAACAAGCTTCATAGATCAAAACTCGGTAGTCTCTGTGCTTGGTAGAAAAGCCACTGCCATCGAATTGTGGCCGGGCTAGCTAAAGCAAGTGATGCGCTGATCAACCCAACTAAACTCGGAGTGCACGAACCCTCGAGTGCTCCAGCCTCCCTTAGAGACAAACTGACAACCTGCAAGCTCTTTAGTCGTTTTCTTGACGGTCTTCTAGATGCGAGACCACGATGTTGATCACCCGCGGCAGGCATAGGGTAGCGGTAGCAGTAGCGGTTAGTAGACTGAAGCGGGAGAGAGAGAGGAAAGAGCCCGCAACCCTCTCCGAGGCCTCGAGCAGTCGCAGCTTCGCGCTTCTTTCCGGGCCTTCGTACCCACGGCTTGAGGTACCTCACCCGGCACTTGAGAATAGTTTGGTTTGCAAGTTTCGTCGAGTCACGGAAGCATTTCCAATAGCAAAGCGTAGAAAACAGCCCGCCAACATGCCTTATCTTGGCCTGGGCAGCGGCAGCCAAGCACGCGAAAGAATGGGAAACCGGCCAGGGGGGGTGGGGAGGGAACTAAAGATAAAAAGGCCGAGAGACGCCGCAGAAGCTTGACAGAAGAAGCGTCGCGGGAGGTGGGCGGCCCACGCCGCTAGTTGAAATCCCCATGGGTCAAGAGGTCAAGAGGTTTGAAAGGTTCCAGCTTTTTCGCCCGCAGACACTCTGAAAGTAGGAGGGCTATCCACAGCAAGTTTGGGGTTTGGGGAAAAAAGAGTGGCGCTGCGTGCGGGGGAAGCACCCAAAAAACATAAGCTCGCGTGGGGACGAGACATTCTCCGCGCGCGGTCAGAGAGTTGCCCAGAGTGGAGGGGCGGGTACTTTGTAACCACATTTTCAGCGAGTATATCGACGGTTCGAACTGTTGACGCGGGGACTGGGGGAGGGTTGGGGGGACGCGGGGGAACGATTGGCTCGCCCTGTCCGGATCTAGCATGGCGCTACGGGTACTATCTTTCGCGAGAGAGGGGAAAAAAAAAAAAAGAAGAAGAGACGGTCTAGTCTGGTACTGGAATTATTGGGTTGCTCTGTGAGTGGGCTTTTGGTTGTAGGTTAACGGGCATGTATCATGTATCATGTATGACTGTTGAGGCTTTTTTCTCGTTCTCTCTTTTGGTGTTTTATCTCGCTTGCGGTGGGATGATGGCGTTATTGACGAAAAGTTTTTGAGGGTAATACGGTTACACACGAAATGCCATGAAAGCGTTGGGAATGTGCTGCAGAGACTCGGCCGAATCCTATACGCCGTACGTCTGTGAGGCAATGAGGCTTTAGCAGGGCCCCTGCCGGACATCTCTCCGAGAGATCGTCCCATGTTATGTGCGTATCACATCAGAAGCCTGCAATACGTCTTCTCTCTGTAACACCGAGTTGTGAGGCTTCTTTATCAAACAACCTCTCTTGGCAAATTGGGGACCGCTCCACCAAACAGTCCTTCCAGGTGAGAATACCAAGGAGAAGACAAAAAAAAAAAAAAAACCCTCAATGGTGCCATCCATCATGTGATAACATCATGGCCTCGAAATTGGTCCTCCCCGCTAAAGAGACATTTGGGCCATGCGGGGGATGATGGGGTTTCTCTCTTCTTGCCTGACGTCTGTCGATCCTGGGGTTTCAGGAACTCCAGTATTCCAATTCTCCAGACTCCTCCAGACTGCAGAAGGGGACGACGCAAAAACCTGGAGTCTGGAGTCTGGAGAACAAAATAAGGGGACAAAAAGAAAAAAAGTGGCGAGGTGGGAACTGGGGTAAAACCGTAGACCGCAATCAATGGCCTAGACTCTGCAGTTTCTCACTAACCTGAAGAGCCCCATCAAAAACCCCAACCCAACACCAAAAAAAATGATTTGGATTCCTCGACTCGACTCGCGCACAACCCAGCACCAACACACCAAAACACTCATAGAAGAAACAGAGACCGAGACTAGCTGCCACCTGACGTAAAGGTAACGCCGAGACTAACGTCCCCTTCCCCACGCGAATCCAGGTGCCGGCGCTGTGGATATTCGGTCCGATGCATCAGGCGGGCTAAGACGTAGCTAAGAAAGCTGAGGGTAGCCCGCTGCCCAGCCCAGCCTGCCGGTAATGGTATGCGTAAGGTAGGTAGCGTACGATTTTCTCTCGCAAGAGCCTCAGCCGCGCCGGCGGGAGGGAGAGACGCCTCCTTTTTTTTTTTTCCTTCGGGGAGCCACAAAAATACCTCATGAATGACCGTAGTAGTAAGCCAATATTATGGTGGAATGAGTAATGGACTCTGGGACTGAACTATTGCGCGCCCAAACGTTTTGTTGGGATCTAAATCAGAATAATCCCTCGATTGTCAGTGCCCAACTTTCATGACACCATCAGGGACACCACCAGGAATACACTATCAGGGAGAAAGGTATACGCTCTTTTGGTATTTTGACGCGTTGGACAGATCTCGCCAAAGGTATGACACGGACAGCGACGAGGGCGGCCGATGAAGAAAAATAAAGTGGCAACAAGGTTCACCTCGCAATCGACAGAGTGTAGTGGAGACGTGAACATTGCTGCCACGTTGGCACGTGGACACGTGAGATGAACAGGGCGACAAGCTTCCAGCTTTGCATCAGTCATGTCGCTAGTGTGTCTGCCTTGGGTTGAGTACGAATACATGTGATATGGCATAGCTAGGTCTGTCTTGCGCTGCTCGAGGCCGGTCTGGGTATTGTCCTCCCCCAAAGCAATTCACTCCTCCTCCCAAATTCCTTGCACCCTGTCCCTAACAATACACACTACATAGCACGCTCTTATCGCGCTTCTCCATTAAGATTAACCTCAGCAGCGCGCTCCAAGAAAACCACCGTCCGTCTTCTCACGAAATATTATACACGTAAAGCCCCAATCCATATCATGAAAAGTACCACCAGCTGGGGAACCATGTTGACGATGACAGTCTAGTCGACTGGCTCGCGCAGCATTTTGGAGATGTTCTTGTGCATTTGGGCATACTTGTCCTCAAATGTCCGTTGGAACTTCTCACATGCCGCCCACATGGGATCGCCCTTTTTCCAGTACGTGTAGCAGTTTTCGAAAATTTGGCGCACGTCGGCCGCAAATTCGTCTTCTGTCTGGTACTGATGTTGTGACATCTTGAGCTTGACTGTGTTGAGGTCCATGGGTTTCTTCACCTTCTCAAAGTAATCGGGTACACCGTCCTCGGCAGGATCGACAGGTTCCTTGAATGGACCAACTAGTCTCGTCCAAAAGCCTGTGGGAAGTCAGCTTGTGTGACTACGTTAATGGTTCGCCAGGACATGACATACCAGGTCCCGATAGCATTCTATCGAGCAGATCGGAACAGAACTCAACCTTCTGAGAGGTCGTGATTTCGCCACTTGGCCCCGAAACAATGCTGCGTCGTTTCTGGATGACGGGCTTTTGACGGGGTGCCGATGCTGCTGCCGCTACAGCCGCTGCCTTACGGACCGGGGGAGGTGGCGCGCGGGAAAACGTCTTGTCTCTATTCTGGGACGCCGGTAACGGCGCAGAGGCCCGCCGGTTCTTCTTGGACATGTGTTCTTGTTCCTCTTCACTGTCCTCCTCCAGATAGTGCACACTCTTTCTAGGAGTGGGCTCGGCGGACGCAGTATCGGCTGCTGCAGGGGGCGTAGGCAGGTTCTCGAGTGAACTCATGGTCACAACCAGCTCGCTCAGAACCTCCTGAGGGAGAGACTTGGCAAACTCGGCTTTCTTGTCGGACGAGCGCATATACTCTGCCGCCCACGAGAGGAGGAGCTTCCGAATAGTTGAGCCTTCAGGGGTGTCCTTCCATACCTGGACAAGAAGGGGAGTGGCGGGGATGTTCTGAGTGAGACGTCTGCACTCTTTCATTGCATCAAGACTCGTGTCGCAGAGACCATCTATACCCAATTCGTGACCCAACTTCCACACACCAACAAGTGCCTCATAGGATGGAAACGACTCGGCGTCCTCTGATACCTCTCCAGTGAAGAGGAAAAGCTGAGCCAAGCCGAAGACTTCCGGCGTGTACTGGGGCAGCTTCACCACATTCTCGATGGTCTCGGAGGCCGCGTTCTGTCCTTTGAAGTACTCGTGGTAATATTTTGATTTGGCACACAAGAAGTCTCTCTGAAGGCCAAACGGCTTCTGTTCGGTTCCGACGAGGACGATGGCGAACGTTGAGTGTGGCTGACTAGGAGCTGTCAGATCAATTTGCTTGTGACATCAATGCCATTACCTACAGCCATGAAAACGGCATCTCCTGCTCCTCCGTGGGCTCTTGCTTGGTCTCCGGAGTGGCAACTTCGGGGATGCCATTCGAGGCGGCGACCGGCGCGTCGGTTGACATCCTGGCTTGTACGATGATGTGGATCAACCTAGATGGTATTAGTCGGGCTGAAGAAAACCTCCGATTCGTGACAGCCACTCATGGATGTCATCTAGCGATAAAAGAAAATGGAGAAATGAGCGATCGGGCGATCGGGCGATGAGAGGAAGACTGTTTTATAACCACGTCGTCGTCCATGGGAGTGAATCGTCGGCATGAGAGTGAGGTCGTGTGAGTGAATCACAGCATGAGCCAAGCTGTGGTGCCTGTCTGATGCCAATCGGGGTGTATTCAGACGCAGACACGCGGGAAATAAAAATTTCCATGTACAGAAACCTAAGGAATAAAGACAACTTACAATGGTGTTCAGGTGTCGGCGGATATGATGAGATAAGATGCGGAGCTTAATGAACGAGGTAGCTGACGAGGAACAGGTGATCGAGTCGTGGTCTTACAATCGCAGGCAATGGCGACGGAAAAGTGAGTAGAATACAATGCAGACAATGGGAGAAGATGTGTGACAATGAGATGGTACGTTTAATGGCATCCAAAGGATGAAGAGGAAGTGTGTAGTTGAAAATTTGCTCCCTGGGACGTTCTTGCCAGACAGACTCAACCTTGAGAATGAAGCGGGAAGGTGTGAAACGACAGCACCTGCTGTGGCTCCCCGTGACTGAAGGTGGCCTGTGCGGAAGCTTCCTCAGGCCCATTGTTCACGTGTTCCCCGGCGCCATGGTCCTGCCAAAATTGAGGACCTGGAAAGACCAGCTTACGCCACAGTTGGTGTCAAGGTGCACCGCCACTTCACCGTGTAGACCAGACTCAGGCAATGGAAGGTAAGGGTGTTTCCATCTCAAGGTTTCTCTGAACCTACCTTACCTACCCAAGGAAGGTTATTTTATCATCTCCTCCCAGTTGCTGTCATCAAGGATCTTCGCAGTCCTCCGCTCTTGCTCCGGCCCCATGGCCATGGCTACCTTAAGCGAGGTCGACCGTCCATCAGGAACCTGAACGGAAAGTGCGAGTGCATCCCGTCACGTCCCAGGAACTCGGCTTCGCAATTCAAGGTTGGCAGGAAGGCGAGCAGGCAGGCATGCCCGTGTTGGGCTTTATCAATTCCCTTATCCTCGGAGCTCGCCGTAGTCAACGGCCACACTTCCCAAAAAGTTCCCATCGCGGACCATTCCCCTTGCTAAACAGACAGGACACACCGCGACAGTCAACACACGCCTTGTCAAATCGCATTGGCGCTACTGCAAACCACTCTCCCGATTATCGCCCCGCGCTCCAATTGACCTCTCACGTCCCGTATCTCGAGCAGGTGGGAGTGCTACCCCCCACAAATGGGCCCTGGTCCGCCGACGGCAACGACGGCTGACAAGACCTGACAAGCACTTTTAACTGTTGGCCAGCTTCCTTTTCAAGTCAAGGGCATTTCCAACATCGCTTCCCGTGTGGAGATTGGAACCTTTTTTTTCTTCCCACCATGCTGCCCCAGCTGGGAAGATAGGTAGAGAGAAGACTGTGAATATAAAGTGTCGCGAAGCTGCGCAAGTTGATCATAAAAATTGTTCGTGCCGTTGTCCCTCCTGTCCCCGGTCTTCGCCAACTTTTGTGAGAGAGAATTGTAATCTGCAAACTCGAAAAACATGTCTCGAACGATTGGACTCCTTGCGGTCGCTGGCCTGTTGCGCACGGCCGCTGCCGGCCTGTACCCGGGATTGACCACCGCCAACCACACCTGCGCTCTCGGTAAGACCTCGGTGAGCTCTTAAGGACCTTGGGATTCAACTAACGCTTCACGCCTCACAGTCGAACCCATCCTGTCTTGCTCTTGCGGAGCAAACCCCGACAAGGTCGACACTTGCTGCACCGAAACTTTTGGTGGACTTGTATTGGCGACTCAATTCTGGAATACTCACACTGGTCTTGAAGCCGAGGGCCAGAAGCTGCCCGCCGACGCGTGGGGAATTCACGGTCTGTGGCCCGACTTCTGCAACGGCTCGTACACCCAGTACTGCGACCTCAGCCGTCAATACGACCCGGCCCCTTCCCCCAACACCACCACCGGAAAGGCAGACGGCACTCCGGTCCCCGCCTGGACCGGCGCCTCTCTGGATGAGTTTGTCAAGCCCTTTGAGAGATTTGATCTTCTCGAGTACATGAAGAAGTAAGAACCCCCGTTGATGAGAAAAGCACCCTTGCCTATCTATAAAGAAACACAATCTTACAAAACTCCCCGTAACCCTAGGTTCTGGATCGCCCAGTACACTCCCAACTGGGTCCTCTGGGCCCACGAGTTCTCCAAGCACGCAACCTGCTTCAGCACCTTTGACGTGGAATGCTACGGCCCCAAGTACCAAGAACACGAAGAGGTCGTCGACTTCCTTGAGACCGCCGTCCACTACTACAAAGAGACCCCGACCTGGAAGTGGCTCGCCGCCAAGGCCATCACCCCGTCCAACGCGACCGCCTACTCCCTCTCGGACCTCCAGGCCGCCCTCAAGGAGGGCCACGGCGCCGTCCCCTACCTGGGCTGCTACGGACCCCGCTACAACGCCACCGAGGCCGGCAAGGGCTCGCTCGACAACGGGTACACCCAGCTCACCGAGGCCTGGTACTACTTCCACGTCCACGGCAAGCCCCAGCGCGGGGACGCCGTGCCCGTCGCTGCTGATGCTAATGGCGGGCGCGTGACGAACTGCGCGACTACGCCCGGTGCTATTTGGTACTACGAGCGCTCGGAGGGTTCGGTTCAGTAAGAGGATCGCGTGGCATTGAGGATATTAAAAGCATATAAGCATACTAGTAATGAGTAATTTCCTGCTGCGCGGCCATTCCCGACTTCAAAGCGTGATGTGAATACTAGACGCAAATTGTCACATACTACAACTATCGAGAGCCGATTTAGCTTTTTGTCGTCCATTGAGTTAACTAAGGAGAGCCAAAGTGACCAAAATGCTATGTACCGAGATCGTCTGTCCTTCCCAAACCCACACGTTCAGCTAGTTTGGACGATGGGTATTCTACTCGTACAGTCCTTCCTTCAGTCAATGATAAATCCCCAACGCCTGTGTGATGCGAAACTGTCCACCTCAAAAATACATCTACTCCTCATCATCACCGAGCTCCTCCACAGCTGGCGCGACGTAGCCGGGGCGTTGCGCGGGCTGCGATGTAATCTGCGTCTCCGTCGCTGTTGTGGTCGCGGAAGCCGGGAGGGGCTGGCCAGTGGATGCGGCAAAGGTACCGCCAGCGCTTGAGGCGCCGCCGGATGAGGCCTTCTTCTTCTTGCCCTTCTTGGGAGCAGTCTATTGCTTTGTTAGTTGTTGTCCAATAACTCCTCAGCACATGGGGCGGTAAAACTTACGTCGTGCCAGGCCCAGACGGGCTTGAAGCTGTCCATGAACGAGACGTCCTCCCACAGATTGGGGAACAACCAAAGGCCGGGAGATGCGACAAAGTAGGTGATGCAAAAGAGAATGACACGGAAGATGGCCATGAGGAAGAAGAGGCCGAGCAAGCCCAAGAATCCCCAACTGAGGTAGTACACGCCGAGGCGAAGCTTGAGGGGCCAGAGGGGGTAGCAGACGACGATGAAGATGAGCACAAGGGCAAGGATCGAGTACAGCTTGCGCTTAACCTGGCTGCCCTCCCAGAACCACGCGTAGTACATCTCTTCCTTGGCCTCTTGCTGAGGCTCGATGCGGACGGTCCAGAGACCCTTGATGCGCTTCGTCTTCTTCGGGCCGTGGTCGTGGCCTTCGTGAGGGTCGGTCTTTGTGACGCGCAGAGCAAGCATCGACATGGGAAGAAGCTTAAAGGTGTTCTCGAGAGACGCGCGATCGGTGATCTCGGGCAGCTCAGGGTTCTTCTTGCGCGCCTTCTCGTAGGCGGGGGACTGTAGAGCGCGGAGCGCACGCTTGACTATAACACACATGTCAGGATTGGTTCGAATGTTGCTAGTTGCGATGACTCAGTACTTACCCTTGAACATATCCTTGCGCTCGCCGTTGAGAATACAGGTACGGGGCTTCAGGTCCTGGGCGCGCAGGAAGCTGGCCAGCGCAAGCGCAACAGGGTTGGGAGGACCAGGCCTAATAGGCTGAGGCTGGCCCTGCTGCGGCTGTTGCTGCTGATGCTGATGAGGGTGAGGGTGCTGATGACCCTCGTGGTCATGATCGTGATCGTGAGCGTGATCATGACCGCCCTCTCCACCTTCGCCGCCCTGCTGCTGCTGCTGCTGTTGTTGCTGCTGCTGCCGCATAGCCATCTGCTGCTGCTGCATAGCCTGCTGTCGGAGGTGGTTGAGGAAATCCGGGACACTCATGCCGGCCTTTTGGGCATCGGCCTCTATTTGTCTGCGCATGGCCGCGATCTGCTCAGGCGAAGGCATGGGCTGGCCGTTGGGGCCCATCTGCATAGGGCCCATGGGGCCGGGCATTGGCATCGACATCTTTGAATGTGGGCTAGTGCTCGAAGGCAACCAGTGTTTTGGAAAGACGCGAGGAAGAACTCTGAATGTTCTCTGCCAAGGTTGTCGGCGGGATTGGAGGAGTCCGGCGACAATTGGGAGAACCTGACTGCTGGATCAGGTTTTGTTGGATGAGCGGGAGTTTGACCGTGAGAGCTGCGGTCGTGGGCTGGGTCTTTGAACAAAAGTGAGCAGCAAGCAAGCCAGGTGTTCACTTCTGGTCCAAAAATCCGTGCAGGGGTTAAGGTCCGTCCCCTCCACCCATTGGGCCCAATTCCCCGTCCATTGATAGAAATTCGGTAGCCTCTTTCTCCGACACCCGTTATCGATAGGCTCGTTAGCCCAGATGGGAGGCGCTCGGACCACACCCAAACTCAAATGCACCTCTGCTTCACAGGCAGGCTCAAACGGTCGCGCTGGTCATCCGGCTTATCACGTGATGCTCCTCAGTTTTCTACCTGTCTTATGTCATTCATCTTAGGTCAGCGAGACACTTACCGAATCTCCTCTTTTTCTCTTTCCACTGTGGCGGCTCGCCCGAGACATTCTGTTTACGCTAGAGTAACACGAGGAACTCTGCCAAAGTCTCTCGTCCACCAGTTTTCTTCAGACCAAACGATGACGAGGGACTCCGCCACAGTTCCCAGCAACGGTTTCCCGACACTATTTTTCTAGACTCGAGTCATCACACGCCGGAGACTTCTTTTCTCACGATCCGGCTGGGTTCTGCAACCACTACAGTCAGAATCATCGCAGCAGGCGTCAAGTGATGCTGATTGCCCGAGAGGCTTTTATTAGATCCAAAGAAAATCGGGAGGGGCAAATGCAAAGCGGAGCGGGACAGAAACAGAGCACAACACCCTTTCTGTTTACCTTACATAGTACGGATATCCACAGTTGCCATCCGTCGGCCAGCCCATCGGCTTCGCCCTCCCCGTACAACCACCCAGCGGCGATGGCATCCTGCAGTAACAACCGGAGACATGCTGAGCGACGATGGGAGTTGTGACGGCACAACACATCCCCAAATCCGCACATAGGCTTCCCGCGTTACTCCCCCCCTGCCACCCGCGGTGCCTTGCATGCCACAATGATTTCTCATTGCTTCCCGTTCGCTCAGGTTGGAACATGTCACTGAGTGACTAGGCTAGGTTTATTGGTTTCCGTTTGGACAGACAGTCAGCCATCGCCCAGTGATTGGTCACAGAAGCCTTATTAATTGCCCGACTGGAAACACGCACACACGGCGTGGAATTACCCTTCACTCTCAGGCTTCAGCCCGTTGCCCTGTTTGTCAATAATTTTCGACAAAGGTGTTCGTGGGCTCGGCGCTCCAAGAGATGACAAGGGGCGGTGACGGGTAAGGTATGATGTATTGCAGCATGACAGTTCATGACTGGCACGAGACCCTCGTTGCCTCCCCCCTCTCTGGTTAGCCCTCTGGAGCCCTCTCTGGAGGGGCACTTGTGGCAAGCAACTGCTGGTCAAGCTGGGAAGTCCAGTAACCCAGAGCAAGGCAGAGGTGAGACATCGACTCGCTGAGCCATCGTCTTCATCTTACACGACTGGTGGAGCCCTGTAATCTGGTGCAGGATGATGGTGTGCCGCCAGCCATCCGAATCCGACCAGACCCCAGCTCCCTAAGCGCCGGTTGGCCGGCCGTGTCTGGCCCGTTCTGCAACCCCGTCCTATCAGAACGGTCCGTCTGCATCTTGACTGCACACCTCGCCGACAACTGCTAGGCCCATGGCCCCTCCATGTCCCTCCATCTTCTTCTCAGCTGGACCTATGAACCAAAGCACTTGTTCAAATCTCTCGCCCAAAGTGGGAATTGGGATTCAAAATGCCTCGACTGCGTGACAAGAAGAGATCAAGTCGGCCACACCCCAAGTGGGTTTCCTTTGACATTGCCTACTACCTGTTCAGACCTGTTCGCCTTCCACGACCAAGGTACTTACTGACCTTACCTTACCTTACCTCAAGGTCATCCGTACCCATCTATTATAACTCAATCGGATCGCTCGCTCTCTTGACTCTTGTGCTTTGCCGCCCTCTTTGCATCTTCCCTTCTTTCGTTCTGTCAAATCGCTGGCCGTCTCTCCTTTTTTTGTCTTTTTTAACCCCCCCCCCCCCCCCCGTCTCCAGCAAATGTCCGGCATGAAGCTATCTGTTAACCAGGTATTATGAAGGGTCTGAGTGGCATACTTGCAGACGCCTATGCGACATGGCTTTCGCCCCTCACCAACTGCTGCGCTCCATTTTCTGAATCTGTAGAAGAGAAGCCGCGTCAAAGTGAGTTGTGCTCTTTGGGTTCCTGGTAGAATACACACAAAAATATCCAACTACCGGAAGGGCTAACACGCACACTCCGCTTAGACACCTTTGACATTTCTGAGAAACTGTCACCACCCACCGTAACCCGCAACCAGCCCGTGCCCATGCCGCCGCCCTTTGCTGGGACAATGCAAAAGTCAGCCGGACCTCGCCCTCAGCCGCAGGGGAAGTCGAAAGGAGTGAAGAGAAGTTTCGCATCGCTCCGGGAGCGGTTCTCTGTGAGAAAGCGATCTCGCTCAGACTTCTCGTCCTCCTCATCGCGCCGACTACAAATATCGGCCCCCAGCAACTTCCGCCATCTGCATTCAGAGTCCTTTCAGTTCCCCCAGTACTCGAACCTCCAGCACGTCGGCCGCACTCCGCCACCGCGTCCCATGCCGCGACCTCGCCCTTCTTCTTTCAGACCGCTGGAGCTCAGCATATACGTGCACAAGAGGGAACTCTCGCCGATTCTGCCGCACTTTGACATGATTACGCCGCCGCGGCCTGCTGCTCAGGTCCATGTCCGGCCGAATTCCGACGACGATGTATTCGGACCCTCGCATGAGCCCAACTATTCCCCCATGTCGTTCCATCTGCCCCGGAAAATGTCAGCATCGCCATCCACCCTTGCTACCATGGCCAGCGATACACCGCCCAAAATTCCGCCAAAGTCAAGGGCCCGGTCTCAGATGTCATCCAGTGCGAGCGCAGAGAGGATGAAGGAGCGGATTGCCGGCGCCATGCTTGAGGTCGACAAGCTCCAGCGCGAAATCGAGCTAGTCATGGAGCGTCAGAGCATCTACGCCAGCAGCCGGCCTTCGACTGCCCATTCGATGGCACTGACAGCGCACGGTAAGCTCAGATGAAAAAAACCAACAAACCCCAAATTTAGCAACTTCTTTTTTTCTTCTCACGTGTGCATTGCAACTAACAAAAAGAATTTTAGACCTGGAACTCATCCCCACGGTCCCCGCCCTCCCGCCATCTGCACCCTCTTTCGCCGAGCGCCTCAACCCCGGGGCCGAGCGCCCTCACACAGCACCACCCCGGCCGCCGGTGCACATTCCCCACCGCGGCATGGCCTTCGCCGACGCATCGGCTGCCTTCATCACCCCACCCCCGAGCCGCGGCAGGGAAAGCAGCCGGCCGCCGCCGCCCCCTCCACTACCCCTCGTCCTAAGGCCCCCCCTCCGCAAGAAGAAATCATTCTCCCGGGTATCCAGCTGGCTTTTCCCCGGCGGCAATGCAGCAGAGCAGCACAATAACAACTACCACGGGCGGAGCATCAGCCACGATTCCATCACTAATTTTCCCCGCCCCGTCAAGGGCCGCGAGGGCTTCTACCAATGTGTCCATGCGCCGCGGGACAGGCGCACGAGCGTGGATTCGGCGTCGACTGTGTCGACGTGGGAGGAGTCGGACGACGACACGGGAGGAGGCCAGACGGTCCCAACGACGTGGTCGCCAGGCAGCACTCTCGCCACTAGAGCGGAGGAGCAGCAACCGCCTCTGGAGCGCGTCACCACCTTTGGGAAGGAAAAAGATGCCGGTGGTCCTAGAAGGACCGGTTTCGCGGCGATGTTTTGAATCTTGGGATGATGGAGCGATGTTTTTTTGGTTTCCACCTATTTTTTTCTTCTGCATGATACCAACGGTTTATATTCGGGAATGAACAAGATACCATGTTGTAAATATTATGGATTAGACGGGGTGGCGGCGGTTCTTGTTTGTTTTGGAAATCTAATGATGCTAGTGGCGACTACGGTACGGCAGCATAGGATCGGGCAGGGCTCGGGGAATTATTGGAATGATGAAACGTTTTCTGATGGTGTCCAAATTGTCTCCCTAAACGCTACGTGAGAAGCTACTCTGGAATTCACTGTGGTGGTTCAAGAGGTGGTATACCTACTTACATGCACCATCATACGCATTTATTGTTGAGACACGTCGTAAATCTCAAGTGCCCATTTGAGGAACCCCAGCCGAGGCGATCAAACAACCTGTATGCGATCAAAAGCTTGGGTTGCAAACACTCAGGCTCAGAGTAACTATTTCCATGTCGTCTTCTTGAGACTAGAAAACTAGAGCTCTGTGCATATGGCTTTCTTAATGCCTATCCCCATCCTTGAATGCTTCGATGAAGCGTCATCTGAAGTCTCATCTTGCATCAGCACCACATTTTCTTCAACGTCCGCCCATCATAACTCGTCCGGTCTTCAGCCGAAAGATCAAACGTCCGGCCAGATTCCTTCCAATAAAAATCCAATAATCTAATTGGCAGCATATGGTGCTGCTGCCCTGCTTGAGCCTTGAGGTGGGTATTACTGATGTTCATCTCAAAATACGTGGTCACGAGCTTGGCTCGTTCATCACGTAATGATCGCATATTCGGAACACTCAGAAACGGCAAAAGTCGGCAGAAAGGAACCAAGCAGGAAATGGACGAATGATGTTTGCGATGGTAACTTCCGACATGGGGTCGTTTCGATCCGGGAATGCCCACTGCCGAAGTCACCACGCCTTCCTCTTGCATGTAACCCCGGTAAAACCCCAGCTGCGTTGGAGCTCTCCCGTTTTGGACATCTAATAGGACGATTTTAGAGGCAGCATATCAATCTTCTCCCAAACATCTTCAACATTCTCTTTACCCACCCTCACCTGACCCTCCACCTCATTAACAGACTTATCTGAAAAGCAGCCTTATTTAAACATCATGGGCGCGGGATGCTGCTCCGACGAGCCTACCAAGGACCATGGATGCGCGGGTCCTGCAAACGGTAGTGACCATGGGCATGAACATGACGATAATCTCATGCCTGACGACTGCTGTGCCGGCGACAGAGCATGCGACGATGCCTTGGAAGTGAACTGCCTGGATGAGAATTGCGATGCCGAAACCTTTTGCGATTCCGAGGATGATTCGACCTGCCGTTCTGTCAAGCTCGAGTGCTGCACCTCCAAGGAAGAGCACTGCGATGGTACGAGAACTCCCCCGTGATGTCATATGTACTTTGTCTAACACTGTACGACAGAGAAGTGTATCATTGCTGCTGCCGCCGTCGAGTGCGAGAAATCATGCGAAGACGACGCTGCTCACGATGGTATGCTGTAAGACAATGGCCATGATAAAGTGCACTTATAACTCACGAAACTAGGTGCCCACGAGCATTCACATGACAAGGATGGCCGCCATCCAGCCTCTGCTTGCAGCACCCATCTCTCCAAGGCTTTCGAGCAGTACAGCGCCTATCTCGAGTCGGCCCGTTGCATCTGCCGCAGCATTCTCGATCGCGGTCTCCCAACCGCCTGCTGCAGCGAGCAAAAGCCCGTTCTCACAGCCGCAGCCGCTCCTGTGAAGTCTTCCGCTGGGAAGAAGCGACGCGAGCCTGCCGAGGCGCACACGACCGCGCATGCCCATGGCCAACACAAGCATCATCACCATCACGGAATTAAGCGACGTGGCAATAAATCGCAAGCCGCGCACGACCATGACATGGCCATCAAGCCTGTTCGCGATGATCAGTCTGACTGCTGCAGCGGCCACGATGTTGAAGCTCCTGGGTCCGCGTACGAGAAAGGAAATCTTGCCATTGATGGCCACGTCGACAAGGATATCGAGAAGGATGCTGGATCCGAGCACGTTGCCCTCGTTGTCGACGGCATGACCTGTTCCGGATGCGGGAACAAACTTGAACGAACCCTCAAAGGGATACCTGGAGTGTCTGGTGTACGAGTCAACTTTGTCATGGGCAACGCCGAGTTCACCCTTGACGGAGCTGCAGGAAAGGCCGAAGATATCATCCGCAACACCGAACGGGCGACAGGCTTCCATTGCACTAGAATGTCAAGCGATGATCAGACGCTGGACATTCTCGCCTCAGGCCTGTCTGCTAAGGCGTTGACCGACCTGGCGATCGTTGGTGTAAGCGAAGTGAGCTTGGTTGACAAAAGAACTGCGAGAGTCACATATGACCCAGCGATCATTGGAGCTCGAACGCTTTTCAACAAAATAGGACCGCATTCGACTGGACTAGCCCCCCCTCGCGATGACCCGTCCATTGCGAGTGGAAGAAAGAGGATGTATGATCAACTGATCAAGACGGCCGCCGCCGCCACTCTCACCATTCCCGTCGTTGTTCTCGCCTGGGGCGAGAAGCTTGAACCCAAGACGCGCTCGATTGTATCGATTGTGTTGGCAACTTTCGTTCAGCTCATAGCGGTGCCAGACTTTTACAAACCAGCCATATCATCTCTCGTGCACAGCGGCGCTATTGAGATGGACATGCTGGTTGTCATCAGCATCACGGCTGCCTATGTCTACTCGGTTGTAGGATTTGGATTCCATATGGCTGACCGGCCACTCGATCCCCGCGAATTCTTCGAAACGAGCACCCTCCTGATTACGCTTGTACTTCTTGGCCGCTTGACGGCTGCTTACGCACGTATTCGCGCTGTTGCTGCCGTGTCCCTGCGTTCGCTTCAAACGTCTACCGCTGTTGTCATCGAAGATGGAAAAGATGTTGAAATCGACGCCCGCCTCCTCCAGTACGGCGACAAGTTCAAAGTTCTTCCTCACTCGGTTGTACCTACAGACGGTCTTGTGGTCACTGGGTCCAGTGAGGTGGATGAATCCATGCTGACTGGCGAGAGCGTCCCAGTCTTCAAGAAAACGCGCGACACTGTGATCGCGGGCACTGTCAACGGATCCGGCACTCTGGTTGCGCAGCTTACTCGTCTCCCTGGAAAAAACACCGTTACCGATATTGCCGAGCTAGTCGAAGAAGCAGCAAATTCCAAACCGAGGATCCAGGACATTGCAGACCGTGTTGCAGGCTGGTTCGTCCCTGTCGTCACGGCCGTTGCCATTATTGTCATTATTGTCTGGACCGTCATCGATGTCAAAGTTCATGGTGAACCGGCTGGAAAGTCGATCTCCACTGCCATCACCTACGCTATTGCTGTCCTCGCTGTCTCTTGTCCTTGCGCGCTCGGCCTCGCAGTGCCAATGGTCCTGGTTGTAGCCGGTGGAATCGCCGCTAGAGGAGGTGTCATCATCAAATCGGCCGAGTGCACCGAGAGGGCTCGAAAGGTCAGCGATGTCGTATTCGACAAGACTGGGACCATAACTGAGGGCGATCTTGACGTTCTCGAGGAAGAGATCCTGCTTGCCGACCATGACGAGGCTCGTGCCATCACTAAAGCCCTCGTGACAGGCAATAACCACCCCGTGTCTACGGCCCTGGCGAAATATCTTGCCTCGAGGGCAACCCGCGAGGTGAAGGTTACTGACCCTCGAGTTCTCCCTGGCGCAGGTGTTGAAGCAAGCTACAATGGCCACAAAGTCTGTGCTGGAAACCCCTCGTGGACTGAAGCCAATGCTCTGCCCTCCGTCATCCGTTTCCAAGAGTCGAACATGACGATCCTGGTCGTCACCAGTGACTCTACACCTATCGCCATATTTGGACTGCGCACACGTTCTCGTCCGGAAGCAAAGAAAGTTATTGCTCAGCTCATCCGCCAAAACATTGCCGTTCACCTGGTCTCCGGCGATCAAACCCACGCCGTTGAATCTGTCGCCGCCCAAGTTGGCATTCCCAATGTGGCATCTCGTCGCACGCCGTCGCAGAAGCGTGATTATGTTGCCTCGTTAATGTCAGAGGGCAAGATCGTCATGTTTATCGGCGACGGAACCAACGACGCTGTGGCAGTCACTCAGGCTGATGTGGGCGTTCAACTTGGTAGTGCAGCTTCAGCCAGCGACGTCACCCGCGGAGCCGCTGACGTGGTCCTCCTTGCAGGTCTCGAGGGTATCCCCTTCGTGCTTGAGGTCAGCCGCGCCAGCTTCCACCGCATGGTGTTCAACTTTGTCTGGTCGGCCGTATACAACGTGCTCGCGATCTTGCTTGCTGGAGGCGCCTTCGAGCCCGTCAACTTCAAGATTCCTCCCGCATATGCGGGATTGGGCGAGATGGTCAGCGTGATCCCGGTCATCGTCGCGGCACTGACAATGTTGGGAAAGAAGATCCGGACCGAGGCCTAAGGGGTAGGTGTGAACACGTGTGAGGACGCCTAGCTGGCACGTTCAACACCTGCGGGCTGAGGCATAGGACTATTTTTTCTTTCTCGTCATTGCTGGTTGATGACGATTATTCTCGGGAGATGGGCATTCAACACCAACGACAACGCAAAAGGGATCGAAATTTTGGCCTGGGATTCTGCTTATTTCGCTTCGCTTACGAGTGCGATAGAGTCAGCAGAGCAATCTCAACTTGGTTACTTTGCTTGGCTTCTAGCTTCCGCTCGCTTTGAGGTACTTTCTACTACAAGAAGACTTTTAACGTGCCGAGGTCTGCCTCTCTAGCAAATGACTAGAAGAGGTGAATAAATCGGTTACAGAAAGATGAATACAAGAGACTGCAATTGCTTGTCCAAACCTTTTCCCCCGTTCGTATCTATTTGACCTGTGAAGTGACAACCCTCAATGCGAAGGGAACTCAAGGTTTTGTTTTCTTTTCTCGTGAAATTGTCGTTCCATTTAGAGTAAACCAGATCCCTATAGAACCTTTTATTTCTTTACGTGCTCTGATAGCCATCTATGATTTTATGACGTTTCAGAGTACGGCCATGACTGGTAGTTTCTTGAAAAAAAAGAAAAAAAAAAAGGGTTCTCTGCTTGGGGTAGGAAAGCTCCGAGTGAAGACCTTCTTGCAGCGGTCAAAGGCGTCTGATGAGGGATCTACCGTACGCTATCAAAGAGCCATCAACACATTCGAGTCGTCGAATCAACTCGTCTGAGCACTGTCTTGTGGGACTCAAGATGTGAGGTCTGCTAGAAAGTGTTTACATTTCCTACGAGGGAAGATACATCAAAGCTAATTCGCTAAATGTAGGTAGCCAGTGCTTCTGACAAAGTCGGGTTGAACAGCGAATCAGAAATCACACATTCTTCAACCTCACTCATTGGTCATATCGGAATAGACCTACCTACAGCTGAATGACGTCTTGCAACAATAATACTCGCATTTCGGGGGTTTTGTATTTGCCCAATCCAGAGACGGGCATTACCAAAACGAAAATCTTACCGCCCCGCCGAAAAGACGGGACTTGCTCCGGATCCACCGTGAGGTGTTGTCAACGGTGGAGGACGGCCCCGCAGGAGCCCAGCCATCCAAAACTCGGAAGACAACGATGTGAACCAGCCACATGGAAGCCCGGAGGGCCCAGCTTGTGATCTCGAACTCTCGGATCGACCGCAATCCACGGGGAGACAGGGTGTACGGATACAAAAAAAAAGGTATTGCATCCTGTCATGACAGTATGCGTGTTGAAGCATACAAGGACGCAAGCATCCTTGCAAAGCTGCCATGCGAGTCAATGCTAGGATGCGAAATGTCGTGCAGGCCATGGCCGCAGACGTCATGTGCTGAGCGGTGAGAGAAAAGGATGAGGCGTCGTGATGCGAGAAGTGAGGCTGGGTGGCGATAAATGTGTGGCATAGGTAGTCGCGGTAGAATATATTAGCCCAAACCAACGACATGCAAAAGCCTGGCACGTCGAGTTGACCACGTGAGCGGTCAAGGTGCGGATGTGACTTGGAGCAAGGAGAGCGGATTGCATTCATCGAGATCGTGGTTCTGGTCTTGGTGTACCACGGAGGCTAACCTGCGTGGTTGGGCAAGTTCCACGATGGACGTGGTTTCAATCCAGCGACCAGTCACCGCCGGGCCGGGTCGGTGTGTAAGCCGGTAAGGTAGGGTTGCTGTTGGTCCGTCCGACATCTGTGGGCGGCAGGAAAGAGAAAAAAAAGCAAAGAAACAAACGTACTGCGTAGAGGAAGTGCGGACAGGGTTCATGGTTTGACTTATCGGCATTGCGATAGCAGATTTGGCCAACAGATTGGATACCCGCTCTAAGCGCATGCGCAACTTGCAAGCGATGGGCGTGTTTATTTCGAGTGACACTCTCTGCCTTGGAAGTTAATAAACAACAGATTTGCACGGGGACAGGGCAGTGACTCTGAATGCCAACAAGAGCCACGACATGAAAGAGGCTGAGGATGGCAGACTATCTCACAGTCGAGGGAGAGAAATAACTCGGGGGCTGCGAAATAGGGTTCATGCGTGCAGCAAGTGGCATCGTCATGCGCAGTGGGGACGGATCTCATTCTTTGTGCACATGTCGTGGTTTGGCGGCGGACGTGTGACCACCGGCCAAGCCCGCAGCGTTTTTGGCGTCCGGTTCCTTGGATTAATGGCGGGTCGCAAAGTTCGTTGGGTATTGTTGGCTTCGGACTCCCATGCAGTTGAAAGGGGATTTCCATGTGTACGTGGACTGGATGTAAGGATGACCGTCTAATGCAGGATATTCGTTGGGCAACTGAACCGTCGTCAATTGGTCTAGTGATAGGTTCTTTGATAGACGAGATGGTATAGAGAGTAAAGGCGATGGATGTTGACCCAGACTTTGCGAATACACCCGACTTTGAAAGCCTGAAGTTTCGAGGTCGGCGAGTGAAACTTTTTGGTTCCGTATATCGGCGCTTCACTCCGGGCAGGCAGGCAGGCACGGCCACCATACAGGACATGACAGGTTCGGCATGGTAACATAACTGGCAACTGCAGCTCGGTCGATCTGATGTCGTGCCTGCCGGTGCCTTGCACTGAAGCAACATGAGCAGCAGATTGAGCAGCAAAAGTAAGGCATGGAGGGGCCTTGGCACGGCTCTTGCTAATTGTGTTTGATCTGCCCACCCAATGGAAGGCGCGGAACGGCACGAGAATGCAACTGCCAAACACTCACCTTCCTCACCTCGCCTCACCTCACCTTATCTTTTCTTACCTTACCTTAGGTAATACAGGGCAGTACGTAGCGAGGGACCATACCCTTATCTAATCTGATCTTGCCATTCCGAGCTCCGTAACCATCCGGACTTCTCTTTTGCCTTTGTCTTTTTTTATCCTTCGGGAAGCGTTGCATCTTTTTTGTTCGGGCTCAAACGGGAGGCGCCTCATCTTGCCCTTTTCCAGCACCAGGTCGCCTCAGACGGGAAGCTCAGCCTCCTCGCGTTTGTCCAATAATTACCCGTCACTACTTCGTACACAGTAATTAGTACCTTATGTGAACTCCAACTTTTGCTTATGGTTTATTACCCGCTGCTGACGCCGCAGTCCCCTTGTTGCGCACGGCCTTTCGGGGTTCCATCATTTGACAGGGCTGCCCGGAACGACTACTTTGCATCGGCTTATTAGCCAAACGCCAATAGGCCCAAATGCTCTGTAGCCCAAATGCTCTGTAGCCATGCTCTCTTCTGGATAGGCCATGCGGCATGCCATGGCAGATGCGAATCGGCTCGTTAGAGTGGTGTCATCCCGCCATGTCCGCCTGATGCCCCCCCATTCTTCCCGCCAGAGACCCACGAGCTACTAATGGGAGAGGCGTATCCGTACCGATACTGATCAGTGATAGACCAAGGGACCAAGGACATGGGCTTCGCTTCCCGCCCGAGCCGTCGATAGCTTTGACAATCCCAACTCTGATCGGGTCTTGGCTTGACCCTCACAGAAGTGTTGCCCATGGCCCCATTCAGCTCACCTGCCACGCCTGCGTCTCGTTCTGCGGCCTCCGAACCTCTCTTCTGGGGCTGCCAGTCTGCCTGCATGCCGTGTCGTTGGACCAGGCTGCTCGTTAGATCGTCGTCTTGCAGCCTGCAGTGCGAGGCGAGCTGCAAGTCGCGGCAGCCTGGGATCACCGCAAATCGACATTTCCCCCTTGGAAAGCCCATGTTAGCCATCGCTAAGGCGGCAGCAGCACACCCTTACCGTTACAGCTCTTCCAATGAGACCAGGGTCTAGAGGAACTTCTGCTGTGCCTTGCTCTAGTTGCACACAAGCCCGGCTCTCGAGGAACCACTCACCGTCTTTGCATTTGTAATGACCATCATTTCTCACAATCCGCTGTGCTGAACACACCGCAAGGTTGTTGTTGATATTGTACATGACATTGACAGCCGGCGGGCGGCATACGGAGTACCTATGAACCTGGAATGAGATGAGGTAGGCTGGCCGCAGACTTGGCTGTGGAGAAGGAGATTACATGCTTCCTGCTCTACCAAGCTTCTTCTTGCTATGCTTCCCTTCCCCTCTAAAAGCACCTTGGAGCATAGTTTATTCACGGTCAAAACACCGCCGACTGCGGAGTCGAGTCGGGAATGTTGCTCCATTTCGTACGGCACGGTCCCAGAAGGGCACGAACAGAGAGGAGAGTGACGGGAATCCCTCCGCAAACACACAGACGCACAAGAATCGGATACAGGGCACAGGCGGCACCCTTGATCCCTCATCCCTCATCCTAGTGTAGGCAGGCCCATTGAGTCCTTGACAAGCATCGCATCCGAGCACTGGCATCCTCACCTCCAGGCTCCAGGCCTCCCAACTTCCCAAGCAGGCACTGGGCCATGGGTTGGAGCTGCGCCCGGGTCACTGGCCTTTCTGGGCAAGGCTAAACCCCCACGGACAACTGTCATTCGTCCACCAATCCGTAACTCGTTTTTTCTCTCGCTTTCAACCCGCGCCAGCGAAATCCCATCTGCACCTCTTACGTCGCATCATCTTTTCAGCCCATTCACACAACGTCCGTCATCCCTAGACATCCGCGAAACCGCCGCCGGTCAACAATTCGACACCGGTGTGGTTCCCTACCTATGCAGTAGTTGCAACTTGCCGCTCCAACTTCTTGGGGTTCCCACCGATCTGATTCCACTCTAAATCCGCTAGTGTTCCCTTCTTGGCCACCAAGCGGCTTTCCCTCGTCGACCAACCAAGACAAGCGGCCTAATACTGCCAAACAAAACGCGGTACCACGACTCAGCTCACGAAAGGGAGAGGGAGCAGCATCAAGGCAGGACAGGGCAGGCCAGTTCACAGGAACAGGACCTCCCATTGCTGTCAACGTCCAGGCTTCCGTTCAACCGTCCGAGTTGTGCCAACTTTGGCCTGTCAAGGTTCCGTGCCGTTCCGTTAACGCAGCTGGGCCACATCACACATTGAATCAGCACACAAACAGACTATCCGTACACTTCTCAGTCTTTCTCTCTCTCTCTATCGTCCACACCCCCAACGATAGCCACCCCCACCAAGCTACCATTCACACGCCCACGCCCACTCCCTCCAGACCAGTCCGCCGCGGTGCCCCCCTCCATCCCTCCATCCAGAGCCCACGGTCAAGGTCCATGGTCCACAGTCCACTCACACTACTCGCGCTTCCCTGTCGTCTCTGTTTCTGACCCGTCACTCGTTCCTTCTTCTTGCCTGTCCGGGCTACTGCCACTGGCACTCGACTGGTGAGGAACCATGAGCCAAAGAAGGGCATCCGGCCACAAAAGCAAGCCCAAGGCACCTTTCCCTCCCGACCCCGACGCCGATACGGTTGCCTTGGCTCTAGAACCTTTGCCTCTTCTTGCACCTGTAGACGGTTCCACGAACGACAGCTCTGCCGCTGCTGAAGCTGATGCTGCGAATCCTTCGACCTCGTCATCCGTACAAACCGCCTCTGACCCATATAACACGGCACGCCACCCTCGATCTCGCCCTTCCACTTTGCGAAGCCGACCCTCTACCCTTTCCCACGCTTCCAGCGCCGGCGAACATGGTGACGATACGATCGAACCGAACCCTCAGTCTCCCGTCCCGCATCTAGACGACGGCACAATGCCTTCGAAACCTTCTCTCTTGCGCTCTTCGCGCGACGACGCCCCTTCATACGGCGCCGTATCCCAAGATCCCAGCCGCAATGTATCACCTACCGGGAGTGATTCAAGGACGGGAAACGCACATCCGATGCGATATGTATCCGACACCACCAGGTCAGCTTCCTCGAGGTTCTCCACTGCCTCAAGAAGGGAGACCTCTCGTCTCTCTGAGGAGTTGGATGCTGCCGCCCTTACAACCGGGCTGGAGGGGCGCTTTGGCGTGACCCAAGCTCCGGTGACGACAAACATGCTCGAGGATGCAAAGTCAGACGCGGCCGAGGATGAGGTGGACTACGACGACTACACAGGCAGCGAACCCGACGAGGATCCAGCTGATAACTCGCCACATGAAGTCGTCCGCGCCTCGGTGCCACCAACGGATAATATCACCCTGTCCATCAACACTCCGAGGATGTGGACGCTGTCGTTTTTGTTTTCAGTGCTTGGTTCTTCTACCAACTTGTTCTTCTCGCTACGATACCCCAGTGTTGCTATTACGCCCGTCATTGCCTTGTTGCTCGTCCACCCACTTGGTCTCATGTGGGACTACCTTCTCAAATATCACAGCGATCCTGCGGAGGAGTTTCTGGATGGTGTCCTCCAGACTGATGCCGAGAACCGGCCGCCGGCGAAGCGGTCCGTGACCCGATTTCGTAGATGGCTCGCGCAAGGGCGGTGGAACGAAAAGGAGCATACTTGCGTCTACGTGAGCAGTAACGTCTCGTTCGGGTTCGCTTTTGCTACCGACGTCATTGTCGAGCAGTCCAGGTTTTATCACCAGGAAGCCACAATAACCTACCAAATCCTCCTGATTCTGTCGACTCAAATCCTCGGCTACGCCTTTGCCGGCCTGACGCGTCGATTCCTGGTTCGGCCCAGCGGCATGATTTGGCCCGGAACGCTGATGTCTGCGGCCATGTTTGGGACGCTCCACAAGGAGGAGAACAGGATTGCGGACGGCTGGAGGATCTCGAGGTGGAAGTTTTTCTACCTCGTTTGGTTCGGAGGGTTCGTCTTTTACTTCCTTCCGGGCCTCTTGATGCCTTGCCTCAGCTACTTCAACGTCATTACGTGGTTTGCACCGAAAAATGTGGTGGTTGCCAACCTCTTTGGAACCGTTTCGGGTCTGGGGTTGTTCCCCTTGACCTTTGACTGGGCTCAGGTCACATACATCGGATCCCCCCTTTTGGTTCCGTTCTGGGCTGCAATGAACGTCATTGGCGGTCTCGTCATCGTCATGTGGCTCATTGCGCCTATCGCCTACTACGCCAATGTCTTCTATTCATCGTATATGCCAATTTTGTCTTCTGCGGTATTCGACAACAAAGGCAAGGTCTACGATGTGAGCAAGATCCTGACTCCCGAGTTTCTTTTCGACAGAGATGCGTACAGCAAGTACAGCCGAGTGTTCCTTCCCATCACCTATGTGCTCAGCTATGGTGTTCAGTTCGCTGCCTTGGCGGCGCTCCTGACGCATACGATTTGCTGGCATGGCAAGGACATGTGGAATACGTGGAAAACGGCCATGGCGGAAGCTCGCAATGAAGGACAGGCGGTTTACCAGCCTATTTCGGGCAGCTCTGAGCACATCAGACCTCAGCGATCGTTCAGCAGCAACGGAGGCCTCTCAAGATCTTCTTCCAACCTCGAGGGCATGATGTTCCGAGAAGATGTTCACTGCCGGCTGATGAAGCGGTACAAGGATGCTCCCCTTTCCTGGTATCTAGCAACGTTTGTCTCGATGCTGGCGGTGGGCATTTTTGTCGTCGAATAGTAAGACACCCCTTGCCAATTGAAATGATTATAGGCTGACTGTATAGTTACCCCATCCACCTCCCGTGGTACGGTTTGCTCATGTCACTGGGTATCTGCGCTATATTCTTCATCCCTAATGGCATCATCATGGCAGTGACCAATCAGCACAGCAGCATCTACTTGATCTGCCAACTCATCTGCGGCGCCGTGTTCCCTGGTCGCCCAATCGCAAACATGGTGTTTGTCACCTATGGCTACATTTCGTCAGCTCAAGGCATCAAGTTTGCCTCTGATCTCAAGCTTGGCCACTACATGAAGATTCCGCCCCGTATCATGTTTTCGGTGCAAATGGTGGCAACAATTGTGTCGTCCCTAACCCAAATCGGCGTTCTCAACTGGATGTTTGCCAATGTCAAGGGCATATGTACGCCAGAGGCTGTCAATGGTTTCACGTGCCCGATCGCGCGGGTTCACTTCAACGGCTCCATTCTTTGGGGTGTGGTTGGACCTGGCGAGTTTTTCGGACCGAACGCAACGTACCGCGGCCTTGTGTGGTGCTTCCTGGTTGGAGCCATCGCGCCGATTCCCCTGTGGCTCTATGCACGCAAGAACAGGCACAGCATTCTCCGAAAGATTAACCTTCCGGTCGTCTTCGGGTCCATGGCGTGGATTCCACCGGCGACGGGACTCAACTTCTCGGTGTGGGCGGTGGTGTGCTATGTGTTCAACTACCTGGTCAAAAGGAGAAAGAGCGCATGGTGGGCAAAGTACACTATGACAATGAGCGCAGCGTTAGACTCGAGTCTGGCGTTCGGCATCGTCGTGGTGTTCTTTGGCTTCGTCTACCCCGGGCACATGAAGGGCTTCAAATGGTGGGGTACGGAAGTGTACAAGCAAGGCTGCGACTGGCAAGCGTGCTCGTATAACACGGTGCCTGAGGGAGGGCACTTTGGCCCCGACAAGTGGTGATCCTTTTTGACGACACGAAACGAAATGACTTTATGGAAACTATTTGATACAATTTTCGGCATGGCAAGCAGGTTTAGGGACGGCATATTTTTGGATTAAGATGCAAGAGATGGAGTTTTGCCATTGGCCGGGGTTGATTTAAGCCCTAGGGATAATCATTCACGCATTTAGAAGCACGTCATAGAGAGATGCTGCATTGCGAAATTTGATTCAAGACCACTTTGAGTTGTGATTTACAGATGCCTCTAGTCTTATCACTGAACCTTCTCTGAAATGAAAAGTGAGTCACAGAGCCCAAATAGAGAAACCAATGACTCTTATGCCCCGCCCGTAAGCTTTCGGACGGAGATCAAATCCGTCAGCGCGGCTCCAGACCGTTTAGTGCCCCTCGCCGAGGTCCAGCTCGTTATTCTCCGTACCGGGTTATCACCGACCTTCTCGAAACGGATTGGTAGCGGCCGGGCCGGGGGTCGGAATCCTACCACTGTGCCGTGTGGGCGGTAGAACTGCAGGCAGGATCTGTGAGATTGGCAGGAGGGGGATGAGTCAAACTAGACAATTTTTGGGGGGTTGTAAAAGTGAGGCCAAATACAGGTGGATAGATCTTTGCGGCTGACGCTACTCTTGCGTTGGCATTTCATTGGATGGGGGCGTTGCTGTTGGAGCCGCTGCCGATTGCGACGTTCCATGGGAGCGAGTGGGGGGGTTTTTTCCGTCCTCTATTCTGACGGCCGTCAGCACACATTGAGGATCCGGTGTAGAGGATTTGCGATGTGCAGGGGGCACCTGTAGTATCCGGAATGTTTGTGTCGAGATTGGTGGGGTTGGAGATTCGCGGGGTGAGGGGGGCATTGGGAGTCGATGAGGATTTAAGAAGGGCTCTATGGGACATCGATTTCGAGACATGTTGGAAGAACACTGATAACTTTTATCCCCAATCATCCTACTCGTCCTGCTCGAAGTCACGTTCTTGACGCAATTACAGTTAGCGCTTCTACATACATACATCTCGCTCTCAGAAACTCCATCCGCACCGACTTGAACGTCAGTTCATCTCTCAAGAAATCAAATCAAAGGCCAACATTCACAGACCCATCGTCAACTCCAGCTCAAATAAAGCAAGGCAATCTACCCACCAAAAAAAAAAAAAAAAAGAAAAAAAGAGAAAAAAATTCTCAGATAAATCCCATCCTAAAAGTTCAGCAATCATGGCACCAACACAAGCATCTCACCTCCCGACAACCCTCCGCTCGCCAACCCACCCTCTCCTCCTTCGCACCCTGGAAGACTCCGATTTCGCCGCCGTCTCGGCCGTGCTCTCGGACCCGGAGAATACAAAGTACGACCCGCACGCCTCGGCTATCTCCCCCGAGGTGGCCAAGATTGTGATTGCGAGGATGAGGGAGAGCGCTGCTGTGCCGAGTGTTGTGGACGAGACAAGTGGGAAGGTTGTGAGTGGGCCGGGGAGGGTGAATTTGGTTGTTGTGTTCGTTGGCGATAATAATAACAACAATGACAATGGCAAGAAATCGTCAGAGGAGAAGGAAGGGGAGGAGGAGGAGGAGGAGGGCACGGTCATCGGATTCGGCGGGTACGGCGGCATCAACGAGCACGAAGAGGACGGGCAGAAGATTCGGGTCGGCGACGTGGGCGTCATGATTAATTCGGAGTTTCGGGGCCGGGGGTTCGCGGCCGAGGCGGTGCGGTTGGCTGTTGAGTGGGGGTTTAGGAAGGTTGCCGAGGGCGGGCTGCAGCTTGCGAGGGTGAGCGCTACGATGAGCGAGAGGAATGTGCCGATGAGGGGGTTGGTTGAGAAGAGGTTTGGGTGGCCTGGGGTTGTGAAGCCTGGGAAGGGGGAGACGGAGGGGGATGGGGAGGTGTTTTTTGAGGTTACGGGGGAGACGTGGAGGAAGTGAGTGAATGGTAGTTGAGAGATAGGTGGAGAGGAGGTGAGGGTATCTTGATTTTACTTGGGAGCCGTTGAAGATCTGGTTTTCATTTCACTTTACTCGTATTGTTTTTCGTCTTGATTGAGGGGCTCTCGTTTAGTGTCTTGCTCGGGGTATTCAAGAATAAGAAGGTGATATTGGCAAAAACAAGTAGCGGTAAGAATCAGTCTGAAATACATTCTCAATCATGATCGGAATTGATGCCCACCCGAGACTCAGAGTCTTGCGTCTTGTTCTGCTGAGCGGGCTTCAAGGTCAGACCGGAGTCATCTTACAGAACCGCACGAGGACCGTAACACGTTTCTGGCGGATTGACTTCGAGACCTCCCAGAACCTCAGACCTGTACGCTCGTGCTTATAAATCTGCAGGCGGGACCTGAGAGGACGTAAAGCGAATAATGGATAAAGAATGTGGTCATAAACATGTAAATCACATCGAGTACATCCATCACTGAAGTGAAGTTGAACATCAGTCGTTTATTTGCGTCCTACTAGAAACTCAAGTCTCCCAAATGAGCACAATCACAGAATCAAGATGATCACCATCTCCATCCTCGCCCTCCTCCTCTCCATCCATGAAGCCCGAACCGCCTCGCCTCTTCACGTACACCTGCCAAACCTCGCCCTTGTCCTCAATCACAGAATCCAGCAATAGCCATACATTCCTCGTGCCCCTCCACGTCACGACTTCTTTATCCTCGGTAGAATCGTGCAGCACGATCCCCTCTCCCAGCGGCATCTCGGCCTCCTGACCATATTGCATAGCCCCTTGGAGATCCGCATCGGCTTCCATGGGCACGACCTCGGACCCGGCGCAGTAGTGCGTGAGCGAGTACCCGTTCACCAGCACCCAGTCGTCGGCGAACCGGAAGCGCTGCAGGAAGCAGGCCTCGCCGCAGACGGACGTCACCGCGTGGCCCTGGCTGGGATCGAAGCGGTGACGGGACTTGTAGTGGCGGAGGGTCAGCGGGGAGACACCCAGGTCGTAGGTCGCTGCCTGGATGTTATAGAGGGCGTCTGTGGGGGAGTAGAAGCTCGGGAGGATGTGGAAGGAGAGGTCGGTGTGGGTCGTCACGCAGTCGTGGAGGATGTTGTCCCATTTGGTGTGGTTCCCGGTGAACCCCTCTTCGGGGCGGCACGGGAGGTGAGAGACGAGGAGGGCACCGGGCGGGGTGAGGAAGATGGCACCGCCGCCGTGGGTGACTGCTGTGTCGTTCTCGACGGACCAGTCTGGCCGTTCGCTGGGAAGCCCGATATAGTATGGGCTCGAGGCGTCAAACTTGGAAAGCTTTTGTGTGAGCTGTCCTGGAGTGGGGAGAAAGATGTCGTCGTCCAGGAGCCCAAAGTATTTCTTGCCGTGTTCCTGCTCGGTCAAGGCCTCGTTGACATCCATCAGAATGGTGACCAAGTCAAGATATCTCGAGGGCTTGTCCCGTTTCTTTTCCAGCGGCACCACTGTAGCGTCTATGCCGAACGCTTGCAGCTTCTCGTATATTTCCCACGCCTCTCCACTGGTGGCTCGGTAGAGCGTCACGACGACAGTCGCCCCGTTCGATTTGCCGTGGCCGTTCGTGAGCCACCGCTGCCAGTCCATGATGAGAGAGTCATTGGCATTTGTGAGGCGCTTGTAGGTCGTGGAGATGCCGAACAGCAAATCGGAAGCGTCGACGGCGTCTGGCAGTATGCTTGTGGTTACGGGAAGATCGTTTGCATCGCCCTTGGGGTACATGTCGAAACTCTCGTCATCCCAGCGAATGTTTTGAAACTCCTTGTCCGCAAACGCGCGCTTGATGTTTGTCATTGGGAACCTCTGAGGGGCTTCTGTTACGACCCTGATCCTCTTAGAGTACCAAGATATGTTTTGTGTAAGACTGTGCCGCTCCGCAAATTCCCTGAGGTAATCGCTGCCGTGTACAGAAGTCTCCTTCTCGCCGAGCTTGACCACCGGCACGAGGGGATCGACATCGATGACTTCGTAAGCATCCTGTCGACTTTTCGCAACCTGGATCAATATGAAAAGAAGAACAAGCAAAAACGTTACCGCGTGTAATGCCCTGGCATGGTTGTGATAAGCGTACATGGGCTGCATTGTGGGTGGAAGGGCCCCCATTTTGTCAATAAATCAAGGCCGCTGTGAAAAGCAACACTTGGCGCGAATGAACAAACAAATCCCCCATTCGGAGGACATTGCCATCTTTTTGAGGGGATTTCGAGGAATGTTGACCACGATAAAGGGATGATGCGTGGAATTCAGTCCGCCTGTGAGGTAGTGAGACACACCATACACATATCCGGCGAAACGCGTAGACTATGGCGCCTTCATGCCAAGTGCAGAGACACAACGCTGCTGCACCCAGAATATCTTCACCAAGGTATGCCCGAGCTGTATGAAAGTCCTAGAATCATTCGAGTGTCTTGTTCTCAAACGTGTAAGACCAATATGTCGAGTTGCGTTGCTGCCAGTAGAATTGCCAGCGCAACGCTTCGTACCACTTCTCCCTGACGATGAGTTTGGCTGATGATGATGGAATGGCAAGGGCTTTCGTGCACGAATCCCGTTCGGAAGACGTAGCAGAGCACTGGGGAACCATACTTCGAACCATCATGGCACTCGACGCCTGACGTAGCAACTTTGGTGATTTAGGTTTAGATGTGGTCGAGGAGGCTCTTTGTGGGGTACTCGAGTAACGATCGTCGACGGCCGGTCATGCTGAGAATGGAAAGCCTCTTCGGGCAAAGATTTAATTAAACTCGGGCCGACGACACTGGATGAACGGAACTGTTCATGAGATGGTTCGGGAGATGAGGGAGGGTGTGCAACCAAAAAGTAGGCGTTTTTGGGCCGTTGGGGAAGAAGACGGGCCCGGGTGCTTAGCTAAGGCGCTCTTCGTCTCCGAGATTCCAGGGAAGGCGGGTCGCTTATGTCGACACTTCCTTTTTTGATGAGCCAAGAAGAGGATCTCTTCTCAAGGTAGTTTAGCATCCAAGGTACTTACTCGCTGATACAGAATTTGTCTGGATGCTATACTTGTGTCCTCGAGCCGTTGTTGTGTGACCTAACCCCTCGTTCTACACCATCCTCAACATCAGAGCGTCCCTTGCCAGCCTCCTCTCAACTCACAACTTCTCGGAGATATCATCAAACATCACACAACGCTATCTTCCTTCTCCACACATTTATTCTCCTTCCGACGCCGTGCAACGCAGCAGTGGTGCAGCGCCGGCCACGACGAGTTTGCATCGAGGGCGAGCCGTAGAACCACGAGGTATCAGGTCGCACTGTGTGAGGTGACCGCCGTCACCTCCTCAGGCCAGTATCACAGAAACATTTCAGTCCTTTATTACTTGCGACTTAAGCTTAGCGGACTCTTTCATCATTCCGATTGGTTTCATGTGGATTTCGAGGCTTATAGTGGTTTCTCTCACTTGGAAACGTTAAGTACTACTTTAGACAGAGCTGGTGTCCGGTATTGAGGGACGAAGATAATCGACATGTCGAAGCCCAGATAACCCGAACACCAAATCTTTACTGCAGCTTCTGAACGGAAGTAAATCTTGACGAAATCAGAACTCCTTAAAATTGCTTGCTGACTCCATGGCCCGATGGGACACGGATGGCCTTACTCTTGGCCGCCGCATAGGTGGAGCCGCCCATCCGTCGGTCGAGCTACACAATCACGCTTTCCATCCACGCTGTGTACGACTCACTCACGAATTCTGCATGGCAAAAGAGCAAAACATCCCGAAGACGATGCGCAAAGCCGTCACCGCTGCTATTCTTGAGTCGTACTACGCATGGCGACGTCGCCACCCCTCTCCTGTCACTCACTGTGGTGTCACCGAGACAGGGAATGGCCATCTGAAACCACGATGGAATCTTCACCAAAACTTCCCTCAGGAGCCTCAACAGTGCCGAGTTTGGAATTCTGACGGGCCCTGAGAATAACAGACTCAAAGACCACGGTCCAGGGCAGGTTGTCGTCGTCAGGATCTAGCGGGGTTGCCGTCTCTCTTTCCGGCATCGCCTAACGCTGCGAAACTTTTGAACAAACGGCTAGATATCAGTTCATCAGTCTGCAGCAAGGGTCAGAGAAGCGACTGTCGTTCACGTCTACTTTTATCCTTGCGACATAGCTGAGCTCTCTTTCAGGGTCCATGACCCCGGCCAGCATCATCTGGTCCGTTTGTAAGAATGCCCAGGCTGGGGGCTACGGCCACGCCAGACTTAATGCTTGTCGAAAGTAGCGGTGCGCGGTAGGCCGCAGAAATCCAATGCCTAGTCACCATATTAACGAAGCACTTAGCAGGGAGTTTATTGACTCGACTATAACCACTGCCGTTTTCCGTATTCTCGACATGCTGTGGATTCGTGAATACTGCCATTCGTAGCATCACTTCAGTAACCCAACGAAAGGTGTCAAGACGAGTCGGATATGTCCACGACTGATCCCACGAGGACGATCGCGCTTGACTGACGACCTGTTCGAACAAAGGTCTCCGCCGTCTGGTCAATACCACTGTCGGAAGGAAGACTTCAGCCGATGGGCCCGCTACGCCATCTTAGGGGTAGTACCCCAAGATAGACCGTACTCTTGTGCTTCCCATCGGACATTTTCTTCGTGCTTGTACGCAGACAAGCTCGTTGGGGAACAAGGAGCTTTCTGGTGACAGCTGCAGCCACCCCCTTCAAGAGGAGCCACACAAAAGCATGATACGGATCATGCTTCTCTCGAAGAAACTAGGATTATCTCAGCAAATCACTGGTCTGCCTACGGATATGCACATAGCCAGGTCACAAAGAAGATGATCCGGTTTTGGCGGTCTGACGAGAGGCCAACGTCCACGCTCTCGCATAGGATAACGTGTCATTCGAAGAGAAATCGTCCAGGACTCACGATGGGCCGCTACCGCGAAGGCTATCAGTCATGGCAAATCGCAACTGGACGTCTTTGGTATGTACTCTGGTT